GATTTTAGCAGCAGATAATGATGCTGCAAGTCTATGAGCAAAGCCCCAGCAGGAAATCAAGCAAGGAAAACAAGGAATAACGAGATACTCTGTAGCAAACAGGGGCGAGGAATAGGACTGGCAAGAGAGAAGGAAAGCACAGGAAAACTATAACACACTTCCCTTTTACACAACCGTGCCTGGAAAATCTTCAGAGAATTCATATATACATGGTTCATTAACCAGTGAAGGTGAATGTTATTGTCATCATTGTAGTGAGCATATCTAGTGGCAAATGTCTGGGAAATGTCACTATATTGACACGCAAAAGCAACAAGGACATCTAGTGGTTAACACAGAATTGGAGAACGTTTTGTTTCACCCTCCATCTGTCTAGGCAACATACGGCAGACAGCTTTTTCAGAGGAAATACTTGCAGAACTGTCATTACCTGTGGTATATATAGGTTGCATTTTTGTGCCTATAATATTCTCAGCAAAGCAGTTTTGTAAAAGCTCCAATCTTGACTAGGACAAAAGTTTTGTCAGATATACCACATGCATTTACTATGCCACAGTTTCTTTGCCCTTAGATTCAAAGAGAGACTGCATGGAGTTTGGGACTGAAAAAAATCAACTTTTTTTTTAGCTGTAGATATAATTTTTATGGAAAGGTTCTCTGAACCCTGACAATTTTCCAAGAATTTCTTAAGGTAAAACATTTGGGAAGGGCTATACAATATTTTTAAGGGCCTTCCCCTCCTTAATGTGTTGTACAACTCTTACGAAATTGTGTGTAACAATTAGCACTAACTTCTAGCAATATAAGCAATGAAGCAGATATGTATATTCATATTTCCAAGAGGAAAAAGTGTTCCTTTTTGAGGAAACACTTGTAAAAAAGCACAATCTCTACCACAGGCTAGACCGGTGGTTCCCAACCTTTTTTTGACCAGGGACCACTTGACCAAGAACTACTTTGACCAAGGACCACTCTCCAACATAGTACCAAAATGGTTACGAATCGGTTTTTCATCAACTTTAGATTCTGATTGGTTATTTGGGGTGATGATTCAGAAAATTGCATTGCATATATCACATCAGCTCTAGTTTCTGATACAGAACATATGCTATCCAATAGTTACCATCTGTCACCCGCAGAAAACCATATTGAATAAGCTTCGGCACTATAAGAGGGTTTCGCAAGACCAGTCGCTCTCGTTGCAATGGTGAAGTAATGGTGAGGCCGCAGACCATAATTTAGTTTTTGCGGACCACTGATGGTCCACAGACCACAGGTTGGGAACTACTGGCCTAGACTAATTAATTTAAATATTTATTTTCTTATTTTCTTTTTTTTTAATAACTCAACCATTTGTAGACATCTCTTGCTTTTTATTTCAACAATAATTTAATGAGAAAATTCTCCCATACACACCAATTCAGCTTGTGGTGAATGTGTCATGGCACAATCATGGAGGGTGCAGATCTTTCCAAAATGCTTGAAGCCTTCTTCATAAAAGACATCTTCTCCAAGGAACCTAAGAGCTTTGCAACATCCAGATTTTAGCCAGCAGTGTAGCATTTTAATATTGTGTAGTTGCATTGTATATTTGCACTTTAAAGCACAGTAGTTGAATGTAAGGGCAAGACTGTAAGAGCAGTTCTATTGCCTCCAACAAATTGTGGGGATGGAACTATTTCATATGACACTGCTATGGTAATGCTCTAAGGATACCCCAGATTGGAGTTTAGTAAGGTGATGAGATTGCATAAGATGTTGTTGGCCTTTCCTCTCCTAAGAAGAGCCCAGATTACATTTATTAATTTCATTCCTAAAGAGGTATTCTGTTTAGAAATCTCTTAGGTCCTCCAGTATGGATCTACAGTCACGTCCAGCAAAAACTGACCACACAGTGGCACTACCACAAATAATCAAAACAGCAAAAGTCAAAACCTCAAATGAGGAGGGCCAACTGTATACTCATATTAGACAAGAATTTAATGGTAGTGAATTTGACTGAGTGAGCATCCTGAAAAAGGAAGACTTATACACAGACTCCACATACAAAAGATTCATAAAACAAATGAAAGCAAAGAAAGAAAATGCAGCAATGTCATTTATTGGATTTTTTTCAGGTGATACATGAACAAATCAGCAAGTCTAACACAGGTTGAAATGTTCTGTGCCTCTAAAAAAATAAAAAATAAAGAATACCAGTGTGTGCCTTAAAATCTATCAAAAACAATAATAGAGTTCCAACAGTCCTCTCAGAGTAATCTTGTCTGCACAAAATTGCCTCTAATTAAAGCAAAACATCCCGAAACGCTTTTTTCCTTCCATATAGTAAAAGACAATTACTACTGCAATGCCATTAGATTGATTTGGTAAGAGGCAATAATGGGAAGAAAATAATTCTAGGCACAATTTATTAGAAAGCCTTTCCTCCATTCAATACTTTCATATCTGTTGGACCGTGCCTGTGATAATTCTATCAAAGCTACCCTCTAGCAAGAGGGAGAAGCGGGGAAGACTCACATGGAAGAAACCGTGAACCAAATCAGTTTTCCTCTAGGTTTTGCTTATTATTTGCATGAGAAACACTGGCGCCCTCTCCACACTTGACCCTTCCCACTTCACCCCACTATATCAACTGTATGAATAAGACACTTGGCTTAATTTGGCACTTTGCTTAATTATTTTTTAAAAAAATATTTGGAAGAATGTAACAAAATCCCACTGACTGTTAACAAGAATTCAAGCTTGTTCCAAAATGATAAATGCACATTTCCTGTGTTATGATCAACTGCTACTTTCATAGTTTTGTCAGGTCAAATATTGATTTCAGTGTCTGGTCTGACAGAAACAACCCAAAATAACACATTTTCAGGTAAGTAAAAAGACAGAAGCTGCCTGGAAAGCATCCAACTGGATCTATGTTTTAGGATCTCTTAGATTTTTTTTTAAAAGGCTTACTATGGAACAGGTATTTGAACAGACCACTAAATCTGGACAACAGTCTTCCTATAAAGTTAACACAATGAATACTGATATGCTTCTTTGACACTACTAAATTTTAAATGAAGTGTGATATTCTGCACCATGACTGGGGAACATGTGACTTTCCAAACATATCTGGATTTCAACTTTTATTATCCCTCACCACCGACTGTGCTAGTTATGACTGATGGAAACACCTTCTAGAGGGTCCCGGATTTCCCATGCATCCTCTATGCATTTAAGAGAACACTAATGCATACAATTTACCCAATAAAGAAGAAGAAAAGCTGGACGGTTATTGACCGTTTAAGCGGAGTAGGAGTAGGAATCTGACCAAGTTTGGCTCACTAAAACCTGTAAACGTCATGTATTTTTTATTGCATGAAACAGCATTCAAACAGAAGGCTTCTCCACATTATACATGTGTGCACAGCCTAATACAAGCTCCACGTGATTTATCTAAACCTATACCATCTCAATGGGCAAGTAAGAGATGCAATGTTTGAAGGCTTTCCCCATATCATGCATAAAATTAACACGTTACAGCCAGGCCTATTAGAGCACCCTTTCTTTAGCAAGAGAGTTCTCTGGGTGCAGGAAGTTGATTATGAGAGATGCCTTCAAACATTTCATTCTCCATCTGTTGTCTCACAGCAATAGGAATATATATATCACGTACGGCTTTTGTTAGTCTGTTTCTGCTCTCAATTTCATGCACTGATGCACAGGAGAAAGAGAGGGAAGGACAGAAACAGCTATGCTTAATCCTAACTTCAAATATAGCTGGGAAACTAAGATGGGTCACTTGCTGACATGCATCTGAAAAGTATTCCAGCGCTGGACCAGTTTCCTTTTCACAAGTTCTTCACGTATCTGCGAAAGAGGTAGGATTATTCTGCATTTCTCTGCCTCTCTCTTCCACAGAGATTTGAGAAATTGAGAACCTTTGCAGAATACTGGGCTGCAGTGCTTTCCTTGCTGTAACAAAGTGGCCTGGGGATGGTGCTTCGCTATGGTGCCACCCATGTGCTGTTTCCTACTTACTGCCTTGCAGTTTTCTCTGCTGTTCTTGCCCCTAGAAGGCTTTGTGTTACAACTATATTTCTTTCCCGCAAGATAGTGGAGTTTTTTAGTACCACTTTCTGGGAAATGAAAAAGTCAAGAATGGTTTTTATATTGTTTGTCAGTTAACACTGTCTTTCTTTTCTTTATTTGATTGCTCAAAACTCTGGGCAATCTAACATTCTCCCTGTGCATCCCCTTCACACTGGATTAAATCTGAATTTAAGGAAATTGGAATCTCCTCCTGCTCAGGCTACAACTCTCATTCTCCCACTCATATCCATCACTCATTTAGTCCAATTTCAAAAATACTATTGCAATTATCAAAAAGAACTATCAGGAGAAAATAATAGTGTAAAGTGTTGGGGTTTGAAACTACACCTGACCTAGTGGTGTGAAGTGAAGGTAAGAATTGAAACCCCAAAAGTGTAGGTAGGCTCTTGGTGCCTAACATCAATTGTGTGCCTTCATTCAAGCCCACATGTCAAAGCAGTCTGACAGCTACTGTGTCTACACTAAGCAGTTATAGCATTGGATGACACCTTAACTTCCATGGCACCACAATGTGGAGTCTTGGGATTTATAGTTTGTCTAGTGTAGTTTGTCTGTGGGTGCCCAGGTGTTTTGGCCTACAACCCCCAGAAATCCCAGTCAGTTTACCAGCTGTTAAGATTTCTTGGAGTTGAAGGGCAAAACATCTGAGGACCCACAGATTGAGAACCACTGATGTAGTGTTTGTGATTTGCTACTAAGGGCTTCCTGAGCTCTCCCCCAAACGGAAGAACTACCAGTTGACAAATCCAATTATTCTGTGCAAGGGAGACTTAGCAGACAAAGTGGTATCAAAGTACTGCTTCTTGTTAATACAGAGACACTTAAGAATGTCTGAAAACAAGCCAGAGCTTAGAATAATTAAATAAAGACAGAAAGTTCTTTTGACAAATGAAAAAAAACTTAGGCACCTTTTTGCATTTAACAAACAGGAGCTCTAGAAAGGCCCAAAGGGATGATGCCACAACATTGTCCTTATGAGGAAAAGGAGCAGGGAGATTGCAAAGCAGTGAGGAATATCTCTTGGACTGCAAAAATTAAGATGATCTGAACACAAAGGCAGAAAGAGAGAAAGAAAAAGAAAAAAGAGGGAGAGAACTCAGTCCCATTATGGTTAGGTAAGCATTGAAGTCTCATGATCTTGCTCTCAGGAAATTTGTCAAGATTTTCTCATTCCTTCCTAGTCTTCAGTATCTTATTTCTTCTCACTTTTCCCAGCGACAAACAGTCAGCAACAAATAAATCAGAAAATTCAGCACAGTATTTCTTGGCACTGATAACTCTCCTCGGCAGCACAGCTGCAAAATGACAGCCAGGCAGAATGGCTGCCGCAAGTGTGCAATTGTCAGTAGATTTAATTACAGGCACATAAGAGCGTACAGGGATTCCCCCTCCCCCCATGAAAACGAACAAAAAAACCCTACAGACAACACAAAGAAATCCCCCACTAAAATGGGAAACATGCTGTTCTTTGGAGGGAAAAATATTACATTCTTGCTTTTCTTTTCAAGTATTAATCAATATTATAGAAAAGAGGCAACATGTTCCTTTCGCTCCGTGTCAAGGAAACATGCTAAGATTTACGCTATCAGTGATCTTCAAGGGTAAAAACCCATCCCTTCTCCCTTAGATCAATCCTAAATATACATCTAATTGTCTTGATTAGATTTCAATCTTTTACTTCTGTTTTTGCACGCTGTACACGCATTATTAAAAACATTTAACCTGGGATTTGCATATCAAGATTTAAAAGGCCTCTCTACTGCTGCAGTACCCGTGTGAGATGATACAGATACCATTTACAGCAGCCTGTTATCTCTCCTTTTTTTTCTATTGTCAGAACCGTGTTGCCTGCAACTCTTTATTTATGGCTTATTTCAGAATTTTGCTTGGGCTACAGTTCGCCTCCTTTAGCAGTTGCCTGCAATCAGAGAGTGCTTCTTCAGGCAAATATCTACAGAACTTCTCAAGAGTCATCTGATAGAACGCCTTCTCTTTTTCCAGCGACTGGATCAAGCTCTTCATTTTGTTCTCTCTTGCCAAAGCATCTTCCAGGTGTGATTCCATAGTCTGGATTTTAGCATGAGCCACCTGTCGGGAAAGAGCAAAAGGATGAGCCTGTGAATATCTCAGTATGAGGAACAGATGGTGCCCTTTGGGTTATCTCAAGCCCAGCTCTCAGGAAACTGAGATTGCTATTTGCTTTTAAAGCATCCCATTTTGACATTCTAGCATTTACACTTTTAAGCTTCATTAGGCATTGTGGAGGGCCGTCCTGAATCAGAAGAAAAGGGTTAACTGTGTGGCTTTCCATATAAATATCTTTTAAAATCTACCAGCATAAATAAATTTAAATATTCTGTATAAATTTCTCACCTTGTCCTCGTTCTCATGGAAAACAGAGCATTTCCTCATTACATGCTGGTTAAAAAAATACAGACCAGTCTCTCCTGTCTAGTTTATTAAAAAGAACTTCTGTATAAACACAGCACTTGCTTATTGTGAAACTGGAATTTCAACCCAGATATCCTAAACCCATCCACTTTTACTTAGGACCTCATCAGACAAAGTGTGACCTCCGTTTCTACACACTTAATAGATGGAATCCCACAGATCCCATCAAACGACACATAACCCATTATGTGGGTTACCTGTGGGACTCCATCTCCACAGCATGTAAAAGAAATGAATGGATTTTAAAAACGGGCATGATTAGACTCCACTCATATACCTGTGCTTAGGAGCACTTGGAAATTGGTATTTTTCCATGAGATGAAAAACGGTGCATATATACTTCAGGTCCAGCCTATCTTCAAGACCGCATCTCTTTCTACGAGCCAGCAACAGCACTAAGATCTACCGGAGAGGCACTCCTCTCAGTCTTGCCTCCATCTCAAGTGTGATTGAGAGAGGGCCTTCTTGGTGGTGGCCCCTGTCTTTGGAACCTATGGCATGAGCACTCCATGGGTAACAGAATGGGGAGAGACAATAGCCACTTATGTGATGAGGAATGAAGCGCATGGTTTGACTAGAAATGGGGAGAGAAGCATCTTTAAAGAACTACTTAAAGAACAGAACTGTTAGGGGAAACTACCCGAAAATAAAGCAGAGCATCCAAAAACAAACAGGATACAAAAGTTGAGTATTCAGCTCACAGCTAGCAAAGCGTGAAGTGCCATGTGATGCGGCTGTAAAGAATTCAGAGCTTAGGAGGCAAACATGTAGAGTCCAAATTTAAAAAATCACAAAAGGTTTATTTACAATAATAAACAATAACTGCATATTTTAATAGGAAAGAGCTGGGTCTGAGCTACTCTGACACCCTCTCTTCTAAGGTTTCAAAGAAAGAGAAAAAACACTCGTCACTACATATCTCTGACACACAAGCAAAGAGAGATCTCAAAGCACACAGCACATACTCTTCATACTAAAAGTGTAAGAAGACAGAAGTCAGATTCAAAAAGCTTGCAGTAGAAAAGTTTCTATTTCAAACAACCAATCAGAATGAGAGCAGAAAGAAAGAGGAGAGAAGAAATTGATACATTCCCAACTGTCATACAGGAGACACAGGGGATGGGAAACCCTTAGTCTATACTAAATTAAGTAACTGCTCCTTGTTGAGGATTTGAGACTTGGGCAGTGTGGGGTTGAATCCCAACAGGAACAAGGCAGGAAGAAGACACCACCCCCCTTTCCCGGAGTGTGATTAGGTCCTTATACAGATAATTAGAAAAATGCATCCTAGGTCATAGTGGCACGCCATTAGAAAACAATAATGTTCATGAGAGGTGTAAGCATGCAGCAGCAGTCAACACATGCAGTCCAAAACAATGCAGTGCAAGGGTGCTTTCACACCATAAAATTGTAGCACTTTGATTTAGCTGCCCTGGTCTCATCCTGTGCAATTCTGAAATTTCATATTTCAGAAGACGTTTAGACATTTTGCTATCACCTATCTGCCGGCTCCCTAGCTACACACAGTGATATCTTTCATGACTGGCATGTACTGGAATTTATTCAGTGTGCCCAACTTTAAAGACTGTGAAAACCAAACCGTACATTGAGCAAAAGACTGTGCATTTCCTAAGCTTAAAAAAAATAAAAAGAGAGGCTGGGCAAGGAGATGCAATCTGGAAGAAGGATCTGTTCAGTGGAAATAGCCAATCATTCCCCTATAATCATCTCTCTGCATTCTCAGATAAGTATGCTTAGAGAAAAAGATAAGGTACTGTCAGGAATGGCTGAAGTAGCTAACCTGCTCCAGGCATTCTCCCTTGCTGTGTTTTAGTCACAGATCTTTTCCCAAAATCAATGTTGATTTTTAGTGGTGTACCTGTAGTTTTTCCAGGAGGTCCATATTCTGTCTCTTCAGCTGATTGTTTGCCCTTTCAAGTTTCTCTGGCACCTCCCCCTCATCACATGGATTTATGTTTTCTTGTAGTTCATCCTGCAGGACATGATACTCCACCTCATAAGCATGAAGCTGTTTGGAAATATCCATCTCAAATACCTGCCAAGTAAGAAAAATTACAGCCCAGCATGAGGAAACTAGGTTCTAATGAATTTGGGGGACTATATACATGAATTCTGAATCTGAGACAAAGGGCCTTTTTACACAGCACTTAAAATGCGGAAATTACTGGGTTAAAAGGGGGAGGAGAATACATGATGCTAGAGGTAAATCTGCACTGATTCACAACAACGGACAAAAAACACAAGTTAAAAAGATCCCCTTTTATCCCAATTCCGGCCAGACAATGTTCCCATTGGCATCACTATATTCCTGCACTCAAGGAAAACACATTTCCTTCCCTCCCCCTGTGGAGACTGCTCTAGCATACGTTTAACCCAAAACAGCTGACCTGCTGATTGGCTGTGAAACACACACACCGCTGCTTTAAAGGTAGCACGAATAGAGAGAAATTTGAACTCACTGAAACTCTTTATTTTAAATTTTATAATATTAATCAGAGCTTGAATAAACAATTGAGGGAAGAGAGAAATCTGGCAGAAGTTTCTTTTAATTCCCCTTGTTATGTGTTGAACCTCATATGGGTACATGCAAATCTGCTTATATTTATATTAAGATATTTGCATGTACACGTATATAGTCCAGCACATAACGGAGTAATTAACAAAAGCCCCTTCCGCCGAATGTTCCCTGTCCATCCTCCATCTTGTTCCTTTATAGAGGAAGCCTGTGAGGACAATTCTGGGACTGACAGGTCTGTGTGGGGACCTGCAATCAAGTCCTGGGATTTTTAACCCCCATTTAAAACCCCAATTTTCGTAATGTCTGGAAGCATCCAGAGTAGTATCTCTTCCTGAGTCAAGAGAATAGAACACGTTTCCAAGAAAAAGCCAAAAGGAGTTTCGCAGCCAAAAACACAAACCTTAGGGAATCAGCCACATATGAATTTCATGGGAGACTATAAATCAGAATATGAGAACTGGGCTGATCTACCTGGAAAAACACAACTCTTGCGCAGCTCAATAGACTTACCGTGTACAAAAGAATAATAAGCTATAGAATAACAAAAAAATTCTTGATCTCTTTTCTCTGTATTGTATAATTAAATAAATGAATTTCAGTCAGTCAGTCAGTAGCCTTCATTTCAGTCAACAAACGATTGGCTAAAGAATAAATGGATCTACTGCAAACATATTACAACATAATCCTTACAATAACCATGCATTTAAGGTACTATCACAGATGGATGAAGGTCAAGCCTGAGTGGGAAATGGATTGTTTAATGCAACCTAGGCCCCATCTACACCGCCATATTATTTATTTATTTATATACGATATTTATACCCCGTATTTCCTAACCCCAAAGCGGACTCAAAGCAGCTTTACACATAGGCAACTGTTCAATGCCTTAAAAACAACATACAATTAAAATAAACATATAAATTAAGATTAAAATGAATACACATTAAAACAATTTAAAACATTACATTCATTATTAAAACCACGCTTATGAAACCAGATTAACTGTATTGGACTGGATTATATAGCAGTGGAGGCTCATATAATCCAGTTCAAAGCAGTTAATCTGCATTCTGAAACTGGATTATATGGCAGTGTGGATCCAACCCTAATGAATTCACAGAAGTGTGATTCAAACTGGAGACTCTGATTCACATTTCAAAGTCTGCAACCAGAAATTAAGTGCCAGCTGAAATACTGCTGCTGGAGAAAGCATATTACCTGTGTCATAATCTTCTCCATCTGGGGCTTTGTCATGTCTGGGAGAGTATTTTTAAGAAACTCAACAATGCTTTCAAAAGTCTCACACATCATGATAGCTTCCTCTTGGCTACTAAGCAGACTTAGTGCCACTTTAAAGATGACTTCTGTTCCCTGAAGAAAAATAATATCTACAACATGGAAAGAGAGGTGGGAAAGGGAATAGATTAGATAATCAATTCATTGCAAGATATAGTTCATATAGCAATATAAGTGGATCAAGGTGAAGGATTCGGGAGACAAAAACATATACATTTTTTCTTATTACCATTATCTATTGGATTCCATAATTGGATAGGAACAAATTTATCTCTGGGAGAGAAAAAATATTCATAAAACAGATATAAACAAATAAAGCAAAGATAACCATTTCACATTCCTGTCAATTTATACTTGATCAGACGTAGCGGAGCACTAGTGGTCTCGTTAGAGAGGAGGGAGTATAAATTTTTGTCCTGACACAGTTCAGTTGCCATCATGCATTGGAACAGTGAGGAGCGTGCTTTTGCCATTGAGGCCTACTTTTCGAACGGATTTGGAGTGGCCGGCCTGCTCTCCAGATCTGGCCCCTTGTGAATTTTTTCTATGGGGTTTTTTGAAATCCCGTGTTTATGTGAACCGTCCAGAGATCCTACAAGATTTGAAGACCAACATCCAGAAAGAAATTGCCAAGATAACGGCTGCTATGATCTTCAAAACTACGTAAAACAAAACTTTAGGTATGCACCTACATTATAAAATATATTCTGATTCATGCAGTGGGTTTTATTAAGTTTTGAAAAAAGAAAGTTATGCTGCCTCACCCTGTATATTGTTTTCAAAAAATCTTACCAAACACTCTGGCAACAAAACCCAATGGAAACTGTGAAGCAAATAAAGTAAGAAACCAAGGTGCAGCATAAAGGCTGGGGCTGATTTCATTCTCCTCCAGATGGTTATAGAGATCTCTGTGATAGTCATGAAGTAGTCTTGACAGCTGGTACATCTGGATCTATTTTGAAACATACAAAAGAGGTTAAAAAGTCCCAAAACAGTTCTAATAGGTTCTTGCTACTTATCAGACATCTCCGGCCCATCCCCTGTTCGGATATCAGCCAGCACGCCAACTACTTATATCAAGACATAGGTTTCTAAGATCTACAGAGACACTTTCTGGAACACCTCAGCAAGCGAGAGTCCAAAAGTGGAGGGCAAAAACCCAGAACCTCAATCAATGGCTGAAACCAAATGAGATGCTCCCCCTTGGGCACACAGAAAACTGGGCAACTTGGAAGGTGCTGAACAGACTGCACCACAAGATGCAGAGCCAACCTTAAAAAATGGGACTACAAAGTGGAGTCCACGACATGCAAGTGTGGAGAACAGCAAACACAGACCACCTACTGCAATGCAACCTAAGCCCTGCCACATGCACAATGGAGGACCTTCTTATAGCAACACCAGAGACACTCCAAGTGGTCAGCTACTGGTCAAAAGACATTTAATGGAATGCCAAGTTTTTATTTATTGTATGCCATGTGTATCTTTATTTTGCATAACGATTGCTTCCTTTTATAACCTTCTGTTCTGTCTCTCTCAACTTCAGCACTTCAGCCTTCTCCTTTTATAACAGATACAAAAGCCCTTGCTTACAGGAAATATCTGTAAAAAGGACCTTCCACTCAATATTTAGTCTTGAATTGATTACAGTTCCAGCCACAGACCCTTAATCTCCTCAGAGAATAAATGAGAGGCAGGGAAGTATTGATTAGCTGCCAGTTCTTATGACATTGTTAATGCGGGTTTACACTTAAGAGAGATGATTGATTTACATCTGGAAATCAGTTGACAGAACAGCACCCTCATTCCTTGCAATGTGCCTTTTGATTGTGCTTTTCCTGCATGGCAGGGGGTTGAACTGGATGGCCCATGTGGTCTCGTTTAACTCTATGCTTCTATGTGTATTTTGGAAGCAAATCACTTCTTGGGATCCAATTGGCCTAACAGGGTGTAATTTCCATGTTTGATGCCAGCGAGGGCCCTGTACCTGGAACACACCTCCCATGTATCTTTCACACATGACTCAAGAATCATAAGGAACTTCTAGCTACATTCCTCTCTCACATATATACACATAAATATACAGCTCTCTCTATTTTCTTCTAAGGTCCCTTCTACACAGCTATATAAAATCCACATTATCTTATTTATTTGTGGTATTTATATCCCTCCTTTCTCAGCCCGAAGGTGACTCAAAGCGGCTTACAGTTGGCAGCAATTCAATACCCCAGCGGACATAAAAGTTTAAAAACATTTAGCATATATTAAACCATACAAAAAACAATTAAAAACATAAATTATCAGCGTCTTCTTACTAGATTATATGGCAGTGTAGACTAAGATAATCCAGTTCAAATCAGATAATGTGGATTTTCTGCTTTGATAACCTGGATTATCTGGCAGTGTGGAAGGGGCCTATGTGGCTTTAGGAGCGTTTTTCCTGGATTTAACAGCAGTGTGAGATGGAAGAGCAATTTGCATCAGGACCAGTGTGGAGAAGGAGAATGTTACATCTTCCCATCCCATGAACTACAGTTCTTATACAAATGAAAACCACTTCCCCTATATGCTTGCTATTTGTTATAGTAAAAGTAAAGGTAAAGGTTTCCCCTGACATTAAGTCCAATCATGTCTGACTCTGGGAGTGGTGCTCATCTCCATTTCTAAGCTGAAGAACCGGCGTTGTCCATAGACACCTCCAAGGCCATGTGGCCGGCATAATTGCATGGAGTGCTGTTACCTTCCCGCCGGAGCGGTACCTATTGACCTACTCACATTTGCATGTTTTCAAACTGCTAGACTGGCAGAAGCTGGGGCTAACAGTTCACCCTGCTCCCTGGATTCGAAGCACAGACCTTTCGGTCAGCAAATTCAGCAGCTCAGCAGTTTAACCCACTGTGCCAACGGAGGGGGGAGGGTCCTATTTGTTATTAGGAGGGGTGGAACTCTAATATGTTTACTTATGCTGGATTTTGCATCATGTGTCATAGAAACCTTCCCCCCCCCCCCCCCCAATATCACCACCAATCTTTCAGGGTCATGTAGATATTCTTCCCTATATTCTATGAAACTACCAATTACCACAGCCTTCGAACCAGACCTCTCATAAAGCCACTCCAATTGCCAATTTGCTTCTCACAAGGTCTTCTTTGTGCTTTTAATGCAGTTGACTTAGCAAGCTAAGTTCAATAACAGCAAAGTGTAGGCTGAGCACTGAGGCAGTCAATAGCAGAGCTGCTTGCTCTACTGAGAGTGTAGGAAAGAGAACCAAGCCAAAGTGATTCTGAGCAGGACTACAAAGATAAGAGGACGTAGTATTGAATGTGGCTGGTAGTATTTGATAGAGAGAGGACAAATGAAACAGAACCAGCTGGCCATCCAAATTCAACTCATAAACCACAAAGCGTGTTATACAATGCTGTCTCATAGCCTGGAAAACACTGCAATTTCCAAACTGAAATGATATTTTGGCTTACTTGTAGTGACATCATGTCAGGCCGATACTGCTTCCGGAAGCCAAGGTCGTACATGAGAAATTTGAGCATTTCAAAGGCTTGCTCTTCACTCATGTGGAGAAGCAGCACTCCAGCCACAAAGCTGATGCCTTGGCAGTAACCCACCTCCTTGTCCAGCAAGGAGTACGCTTTTAGGAGGTTGAAGAGTGACAGCTGCCCAGCTCCTAACTGAGCAGAAAAGTAGGGGTGTGTGGGGAAGGTCCTTCCTGGAGTCAAAACAGGAAGGGAAGAAATGGGTTGCCAGGAGCTATTTACAGAAAGGCTGATCATACATAAAACAAAACAGCAGCAATACTATAGTATAAGCTAATGTAAGCAGTCAAAACTTGATATGTAATGATGATTATTTGTTTTTGATAATTAAATTACCAGTGTAACATTACTTTGGCAGACTGTCAATTGATCCAGTTTTTTTTTCTTTTTTAAATCGATGTTTTTATTCAGAAATAATTAAAACAAAATCTGCAAACAGACATAAAACGCAAGAATACAATCCATGAGACAAAATAACATATATACTTGAGTATAAGCTAAATTTTCAGCCCTTTTTTAAGGCTGAAAAAGCCCCCCTCAGCTTATACGCAAGTCAAGGTTATTTATTATTTTACTCTATTACTATTATGATTACATTTATTATTTTACTCTATTTATTATTATTACATTTACATTATTTTACTCTATTATTATTTTATTACATTTATTATTTTACTATATTATTATTACTACTACATTTATTATTTTACTCTATTATTACTAATATTGTTACATTTCCATTATTTTACTTTTTAATTATTATTTTTATTACATTTATTATTTTACTCTTTTTAATATTATTGGAAGGATACGAAGGAAAATTTCCACTGAAAAAGGTTAGAATAATGGTTTAATCAGAATTGGACAGTCTTATTTTAAATTACAGATGTATGTAAATATTCAAAAACATTTAACCTATCGATGTCTAAATTTTATTGGTATCTATTTTTATTTTGAAATTTACCAGAAACTGCTGCATTTACCACCCTTGGCTTAAACTTGAGTCAATACGTTTTCCCATTTTTTGTGGTAAAATTAAGTGACTCAGTTTATATTCAGGCCAGCTTATATTTGAGTATATACAGTATATGGCAGTGTTGAAGGGCCAGGGCTAGGTCAAGAGACTGACCAAGCAGGAAAAAATCTGATACAAACAGGAGGAAGAATGCTACCATGCTTCCTAGTAAGCACTGGGTAATAAAAGAATTAAAAAAATCCCTTGGCCACTTTGTAGGGCTGAGAGACAAAAGACTCTCCATTTCTGTAGCTTCCTGCACTATGACATTCTTGTAAGGAACAGAAAAATAAAACCAACCAAAACAACATTCCTTTTCTCAGTGGAAAACAGGATACTCATTACCAAAAGCAATTTCCTGATGCAAAATAATAGACAGCTGTGAAGGGATTACCTTAAATATGCCACAATAACACAGACAACACAACAAATTCACAAAAATCGGCAGAAGGCACCAAAAGTATCTTCCTAAAAAAAAAAAAAACATTTGCAGATAGCAGAAGCCAAGCTTCAGAAATCAGAAGAATGGGCATATACTGACTTGGGACTCTGGGAGTTGCAGTTGAAAAAAAATATTTTTTCTAATACTTCTCAGGCATTTTAAAGAAAGTCAGCATGAAAGGTAACAGTTTCTTCCCGAAGCAAAGCAAATCTTTGTTGTGCCATAGTTTTCAAAATAAGCTATGACAGAAGTTACCTAGATCTACAAGGATAGCATGTTGCTGAGCTGTCAGTTGTTTGAGAAGTTCTTTGTAAGAGATGTCAGGGGGCTGCTGTTTATTTGGCAGGCGATGTCTTACTCGATGCTGTACAGCAAGAAACTGCCAAATTTCACCCCGGCGGCCTTTTGGTACACCTGAATAAATTAAGAAATTGGTGGGAGGGGAGAGAAAGAGAAACAACAAATTATAATAATGCTTTATTTGCATTCTGCCCTATCTCAGGGCAGATTCCAGCATATATTGACATATACAGACATAAGGCAAATATTCAGTGCCTCGAAACAATAAAACACAGATACACAGATAAAGGTAAAGGCTCTGGGGGCTGGTGCCATTTCTAAGTTGAAGAGCCTTCGTTGTCCGTATATACCTCCTAGATCATGTGGCTGGCATGACTGCATGGAGCGCCATTTACCTTCCCGCCGAGGCGGTATCTATTGATCTACTCAATTTCCATGTTTTCGAACTGCTAGATTGGCAGGAGCTGGGGCTAAGAGTGGGAGCTCACCCTATCCCGCAAATTCAAACCGCCAACCTTCTGATTAGCAAGTTCAGCAGCTCAACGGTTTAACCCATTGTGCCACCGCGACCATATTACAGATAGATAATTATCCAGTGTTTAAATATATTTAGTCACTTATTTTAGAAGTTTATTGTGTTTACTATCTTATGCATTTCATTTGTTGTCCATTGTATGTGAGTACCTTTATTGCATCACCATAGGGAGAGGCAGGAAATAAATAACATTTTTTAATTCTTGTCAATCTCATTTCTTAATTCTTATCAATCTCATTATATCATCATCAATTGAACCAATGCCTTCCTAATGGCATTGGTGCCATCTGCACTGACCATTTAATGCAGTTCGAAGCCAACTTGGAACTGCGGTGGGCAGACAACCCACCCCACAAAAGCATGAGATATAAAGCACTCAATGTGAATCAGTATTCTGTGGTTTTTATAATCTCCATCAGGGCCTCAAACTGGTTCCAGGATTTCTTATATAATCACCTGCACAGCAAAATCTCTTTCTTCAATAGTGGTTTGAAACTAAATTAAATAGTCAGTGTAGATGGGCCATTGTTAAGGATGCACCAGAGCCTGAATGGGGCTCAGAATCTACAAATAAAGTATAAAGCAGTCGAAAATTACCATCTTTCAAAGTTGCATGAATATCTTCCATGTCACATTTGATTTTGGCTCTGAAGTTCGATAGTTTCTTATCCCAGATATTGATCGCATCTTTCGGACAAGTACCAATTTCCTCATAGTCCATCTTCACCTTTCTGGATTGGAGCTCGTCTCTGCTTGCTGGGGGGGAAAACATGGGAAAAACATGGTGTCAGACTGAGTCACAGAACAGCAGTTAAGACCACCAAGTTTCAGCTAGGATTTATGCCTATAGACCACACAGAAGGTGGTGTAGGGACTAAAGGTGGAAAGGGATGCCCAGAATACTGCTCTCTTGCTGTGCATAAATTTCTAAATTCAAATCTGCTTTGACGAATGGTTAGGAGATGGTCTTGAACACTGGTCCAGTTTGTATTATACCGGCAGTCCCCAATTTACATATGACTCCTAGGCTGGATCTACTAGGCTGCATCTACACTGCCCTATATCCCAGGATCTGATCTGCTGATTCCAGATTATCTGGCAGTTTAGACTCATATAATCCAGTTCAAAGCAGATAATCTGGACTCAGATCCTGAGATATAGAGCAGTGTAGGTCCAGACTAGGAATCTCTAGGATCCCTTCTACACTGCCATTTAAAATACAGAGTATCTGCTTTGAATTCGTTTATGTGGCAGTGTAGATTCATATAATCCAGTTCAAAGCAGATAATGTGGATTATCCGCTTTGATAATCTGGATTATATGACAGTGTAGAAGGGACTTAAGTCCTACAGAACATCTCCACAGTGAAAGTTGGCCATAGAGTCACGGAGGAGGAATTAAAGATTCCTAAAGAAAACAGATTAACTAAATCCACAAATAATCAAATCCTTAAAAATAAAACCCCCAAATGTGGAAGGCCAACTGTATATACAAAGAAGTACTGTATCGTGTCAAGTCAAGGCTCATTCCATGGAGAGGGGAAAGCACCAATGCCGCCTCAAAGGGCTGGCTGCTCCAGCCCCCACTGTGTTTCCCCACCCAGGCATTCAACAAGGCCAGAAGTGGCACCACAAAGAGTTGAGGGGATTGATCATTCTTTTAGGTTTTCCTAGGGCAGACTAAACTGTTACCTTTCACCATTCAACTCAGGGCCTTTCCACACAGCCATATAACCCAAAATTTCAAGGTAGAAAATCCCACAATATCAGGTTTGATCTGGGTTATTTGAGTCCACACTGCTATATATTCCAGTTTACAGTGGATAATGTGGGATTTTATTCAACTGTGTGAAAGGGGCCTCAGAGAAAGGGATGGTTCCTTTTTGGATGAGCTTCAAGGTACAATGACTACCAATAAGTTGGCCAGTTTTTTTTTGTTTTTTTTTACTGATTTTAACTAAATTTCTAGATCCTGGTTTTAGGGAAAAGCAATAAAATAAACAAGTCTGGAAGATAAGGGGCCATTATATCGAGCAAGTAAAGCATTTCAAATACCTAGGACTTTGGTTCAGAAACAACCTGTCATGATCCACTCATTTAAAATGTACACTGGCCCGGGCCCAATCAAGCGACAGTGCTACCAGGAGGTTTTTCCATTCCAGGGGGAACCAATATATCCCCCCAACTCTGTACGTTTTTCAAGCAAAGGCGATGTCACAACTACTCTATGGAGCGCCCATTTAGTTAACCCCTAATAACAGTGCCATCAGATCTTTCCACTCGAAATTTCTCCACAAATTATTTGGTGTCCCAAACTGTGTCCCATATCCAGTTCTATGTCTAGAATCTGGCCATACTCTATAAAGGCCACTATCTGGTTAAACATCATAAAATTTTGGTTATCTATCCAATATCAAAGCCCCAGTCACTTTCTGACCCAACTCACCTTGAGCGAACTCCATCCCTCAAAATGGTGCTCAACCGTTCTAGCAAAGATTGGGGAATTGGGCTATGATAGCGACTTCTTGAGCTTCCTAACTTTCACCAAGATCTTTACTCTTATTAAAAAGAGGCTGCAAGAAAGGAACCATAACCCTGTTGTTTTACCATCCTGCGAGAGGCTTCTCTCATGCCCTTGCATGGGAAGCTGAAACTGACAGATAGAAGCTCACCCCGCTCCCCAGATTTGAAGCATCGACCTTTCAGTCAGAAGTCCTGCCTGGTGGTGCAATGGTTTAACCCATTGCTCCACCGGGGCTCCACAATTGTGTTGGGTGCTACACCAATGCTAACTCTACATGGAATTGCTAACATAACAGGCCTTTTATTAATGAAATAGGATCACTAGACATAGACCTCTGATTCTAACTCTTACAAGTAGGGGGAGTGGAAGCACAAAAAGGTGAGCCACTGCTAGTAGCCCGTGTTAGAGGGAAGATGGAGCATAGCTCATACCCAGTACTCTTGGCTTATTAATCCATCAATATGCTTGACAAATATTTTTTCTAGCAGAAAACAGAAAGCATGCGATTCTCACTTTTCACCTTGCTTTTTAGTTCAGGTTTCAAAGTTACCTAACTAAAGTTATGTACCAAATAACAGCCGTACTATGTTGCACACATATGTAGGGTTGGGTATATTGGGGGGGAGGGTATTTCCAAGCATCTTACCTTCTGTAAAACAAAATATCATTCAAGCCTCCTCGGCAGCATTAGGAAGAATGAGAAGGATTTTTTATTAGTATTTTGTTAGAAAGCTTCATATTGGGATGATTGAGACAAATTATATAAATCAGTGGTTCTCAACCTGTAGGTCCCCAGGTGTTTTGGCCCACAACTCCCAGAAATCCCAGCCAGTTTACCTGCTGTTAGGATTTCTGGGAGATGAAGGCCAAAACATCTGGGGACCCATAGGTTGAGAACCACTGATATAGAGATATTAAAAGGACAGGAAACCTACAGAAGGCAAGGAAGAATTTCTCTGCAGTCTATCTCACACACTACCAGTACCACCACTGATGGTGGAAAAGGGTGACAGGGGCATGTTTACACCAGTAGATTGTCTAAAGCTGGCTCCACACTGCCGTATATCCCAGGATGTGATCCGAGATTATCTGCTTATCCCAGATTATCTGGCAGTGTAGAATCATATAATCCAGTTCAAAGAAGATAATCTGGGATCAGATCTTCGAATACAGGGCAAGGTAGATCCAGCCTGTCATCCAATTATGTGATGTTAAAGACCAAGGGCCCTTCCACTCAGCCATATAACCTAGAATATCAAGACAGAAAATTCCAAAATATCTGCTTTAAACTGGTTTATCTAAGTCCACACTGCCATATATCCCAATTCAAAGCAGATAATGTAGGATTTATTCAGCTGTGTGAAGGGCCCCAAATGATATGGCGCCAAAGATGCAAGTCAAAAAGCCGAGTGCTTATGGATTACAAATTTCCATTCAAACAGAATTTCCATTACTTCTCATTGCAGAAGATTAAAAACCATCTGCTATTGGGAGAAGAGGTGTTGGCCATAATGTTCTGTGCCATTTTGTTCTGTGAATTTTCCACAGCAAGCTTTCCTGCGCATCTCTTGCATAGTCATCACAGAGATAGTCATAAATGACTTTCTGGCAGTTTAAGACAGCAATTAAAGCATAATCAAAATGAAACTCTAAAGGCTGCAATAAAGATCAAACACGTCTCACCTTTACATAACATGATTTGAATTCATTTAAAGGAGACTCCTGATTTGCCAAAATCACTTAACTGCTCAAGATTCTGTGCCACTCAGTACTCATATTCAAAGAATGTATTGTCGAAGGCTTTCATGGCTGGAATCACTGGGTTGTTGTAGGTTTTTTTGGGCTTTATATGGCCATGTTCTAGAGGCATTCTCTCCTCACAACCTCTGAGGATGCTTGCCATAAATGCAGGCGAAACATCAGGAGAGAATGCCTCTAGAACATGGCCATATAGCCAGAAAAAGCCTACAACAACCCATATTCAAAGAATTCTTAACTCAGCACTCAATTTATGCTGTGAGTAAAGGCCACAAAATTGGTTCAAGAACTCATGAAACACATTGCTCAGCCACACAGTGTAGGCCCAGTATCTTATTCAAGGATCAATTTGTGTACTCAGTATAATAAAATGGCACAGCTTTTTCAATTTGATAACAATCGTAGGCTAAAAACAGAGGGCTGTAGATATGAATACCTCTAAAAAACAGAGGGAAAACTATGAACTCTCTTTTCTTCACCATGCTAGCTTCATACATACAAAAATGTCTTGCATATAAGTTCAGAATCCAGCTTTACTACTAAAGTCTGATGAGTGAATAAACTAATTAGAAATAAAGTATTTAGTAGTTTATTTTTGAAAAAAAATCATAATAATAACATGTTTGGACATGACTTGGATTGAGATCACTGGCCACTGAAATATGTGTGCAAGAGTAAAGGAGAAAAAGAACAAAGAAAATTAAAAAAAAAGTAGTTGGTGCTAAAAGAGTTTCTCCCACCCATTTTATTTCCCAGTAAGTAGAAGTACTGAAACAAAAAGAGCTTGGGAGCAAGCCATACTAGCTGGGCCTCACTATCAACCTGCCAATTGTGAGAGAAATAAGGTTGAACACTGTGAAAGCCACCCACTACGTGGCTATCAGCTTCCTCCCAGTAGACTTAAATCAAGGGAAAGTTTCATGAGAACCACCACTCCTCTAAATGTTCCTCCAGCAACAGCAAGAGTATCCCTCTGGGCAGCAAAATCAAGCAATCCCGACTGGATGGCCCCCCACGAGGGTCTTCCTCCAGGGGCAAACCAAGAATGGGCAACTTGGAAGTCCCTGAACAGACTCAGAAGCAGAGCTGACAGACCAAAAGACAACCTGGCAAAACGGCACTACCTAGAAGAATCCTTAACCTTGTGTGACTGTGGAACTGAACAAATAACTCCACATCTGTATGCTTGCCCACAATGCCCTGTCTCATGCACAGAGGAAAAACTATAAAGCTACAGACAAGTTGGTCACTGTTGCCTGCTTTTGGTCTAAAACTATCTAGCAGCTTGTAATCCCTTTATTTTATCAGTTTTAGACTTATCTATTCATGCAATGGTTTTGACACAAAACAAATAAAAACAGAGTGTGTATAAAGCATACACCAGATTAACCTACACACGTGACCACGAAGATCAACAAAGGCATGCAAATTATCTTTAGGGAAGCTCGTCTGCTAATACTTGTTTTTTTTTCACCCCCAAAGTCATGATAGGTTTCAGAGGAACTGTTGTGCGAGGAAGAGAAAATAAATGAGCACAGTCTAGCCAGAGGGGGAAGTCTGTGAAAAAGAGAAAGTAGCAGAAATGCCATGGTATTGGGGAAATTCGCAGCAAGGACTGCCTCCCTATAGGAAAATAAAATATAGTTTTACAATGGTGAATTCCTATGGAGATCCCAGGCCCTACTCAGACCAGCTGTCATGCCTAAAGGCAGGACAGATTTGTCACTTTCCAAAATTGTCTTTACTCTAAATTTATATTGAAGGGCAGAATATAAGCTGCCAATAAAATAAATTCACACCTGACAGTTTGACAATGACATCATTTCACTGGCTAATTTAATTCTGTTTCAAATTCCACAAGGAACTCAATAGGTAGTCACTTTGAAAGTAGGAGGAAGGTCCCTGTAATACTTTACCTGAACCTTCACTAACCTTCCAATTTTTGGTTCTCCTTTTCCATCCGAAGAAGAAGTATCTGCTGATGGATGGCTTTCCTCCACAGACTCTGCAGCTCTTCCGAGTTCTTTTTCTCCCTGGACTTTTCTTGGCCATCATCATTTTGCAATATTGAAATGAGAGGGTCTTCGTCAAAGCATGGCGCCAGAGGAGATAGTGGTAACAATTCATTTCCATCAATTCCATCTGCAAAAGACAGTTAGCCATGGATTAACTGGACTTTACTTACAGAAATATGCAATAGCAAAAACTGCACTTCAACTCTGATCATCATTGAAGTTTTATTGCAAATTACTCAAAGTACAAGTAACTACAGAGGCCAGTGTTCACACTTAGTCACTTCTGCCCCATTTTTTTTCTTCGCACACTGACTAACTGTATATTGTAAACTCTATGGCAGGGGTCCTCAAACTTTTTAAACAGAGGGCCAGGTTACAGTCCCTCAAACTGTTGGTGGGCCGGATTATAATTTGAAAAAAAACCATGAATGAATTCCTATGCACACTGCACATATCTTATTTGTAGTGCAAAAACCACTTTAAAACAATACAATAATAAAAATGAAGAACAATTTTAACAAATATAAATTTATTAGCATTTCTATGGGAAGTGAGGCCCTGCTTTTGGATGATGAAATAGGATTGTTGTTGTGTGTTTTCAAGTCGTTACAGACTTAGGTTGACCCTGAGCAAGGGCCGGGTAAATGACCTTGGAGGGCCGCATCCGGCCCCCGGGCCTTAGTTTGAGGACTCCTGCTCTATGGTATAGAGACAAGAGTTTGCTGTCTTTTCTTATGCAAATACGAATGTAAAAATGAATATGCAGTCTTTTAAGGCTGTGAATCTGCACCCACTAGCATGTTATTATGTGTCTTCAGGTTAACTCTAATGTATGGGGACCTTAGGAGCACCTGGTGGCGCAGCGGGTTAAACCACTAAGCTGCAGAACTTGCTGACTGAAAGGTTGGTGGTTCAAATCTGAGGAGCGAGGTGAGCTCCCACTTTTAGCCCCAGCTTCCACCAACCTAGCAGTTCGAAAACATGTAAATGTGAGTAGATCAATAGGTACCACTTCAGCAGGAAGGTAACAGTACTCCATGCAGTCATGCCAGCCATATGACCTTGGAGGCGTCTGCAGACAATGCCGGTTCTTCGGTTTAAAAATGCATATGAGCACAAACCCCCAGAATCGGACACGACTAGATTTAATGTCAAGGGGAAACCTTTATCTCTACCTTTATGGGGATCTTATCTATTCAGAAGAGGTTTGCCATTGCCTCTCTCTTAGGCTTAGATAGTGTGATGGGAGCAAGATTACTCACCAGGTTTCCATGGCTGATTGGGGAATCCCAGAGTTGCATAGTCAAACCACTACACTACACTGGCTGTATACAGTACTCACTAGCACACACTCATCTTACTGAAGCCAACAGGACTTACTGCAACAGCTACATCTTCACCACCAAAAGGGCACATCTTTTATTGGCCATGATCTTGGATTCATCATGCTACTCTGACTACCTCAGCTTTGTGATTTTTCTTTCTCACAGAACAGAGCTCTTTTACGCAAGAGTACATTTAAGACTTCTGGCATCCACAATTTGCTTCCAGCATGCTGACAGGCAATGCTAACAGTCAGCACCATCTATCATATGCAATTCTGGATCTAATGCATGTTAATGAAGGGTGTTTAATCTTTGCAAAACTACTGAATACAGCAAGCCAGTCAAAAGTGCAGAAAAGCATTTATAATTCTGTACATTTTTCAGAGTTAAGTGTCAGAATCCTGTATTCCCTTGTTTGTAATAAATTGCCTTTAAAATATGCAAGTTGAAAAGAATTTGAACAGTTTGAAATATTCTCATATGCCCTGTAGCCTGCTTTGAATAAATACCTCTCAAAAGCTAATTGTCAAATGCAATTAGTGACTTATTAGATTTAGCACCCAAAACTGTTGCTACAGTTCTCAGAGGCTATTAACAGTTTTTGTCAACATAAGTATGTGAGCAGGTTGCAGAAAAGCCCATAATGGCTGGAAGTAACAGAAGAAGTAACTTCGGAGAAGCTACTTTTGGAACTATAACTCTCATAATCATCCAACTAATTTTAGAACCATATCGTTCAACATCTTCCAAACACTAAGGTAAAGGTTGTCTTGGGGTGTTTATACAGTGTTGGTTAAGAGAGCCCAGCAGAGATTGTACTATCCAAGACTTCTTAGGAACCAACAACTGAATGGGAAACTGCTTGTTATTTTCTACAGCTGTGGTAACTGTACAGAGGCAGATAGGAAGGTGTTCCAAAGGGTCGCCACTACTGCAGAGAGAATCATTGGTTGCCCTCTCCGGAAGAACTTAATAAGTCCCATAGTTTTAAGAAAGTTCAGAGCATTCTTAAAGATCCATCTCACCCAACATATTATTTTCTTTTTTTCTTTTCTTTTTTTTTTCTTTTTTTGAATTATTACCATTTGGCAGATAGTATAGAATGACAAAAACAAGGACAAATGGACTGAGAGACAGCTTTTATCCTAGATCTGTGACTGTATTTAACTCCATGGTCTTCCACTGATGTGGCATTGGGGTCTGTGCGGTGGTGGTTGGTGTGTAGAGGGATGGGTGTGTTGTTTTTGTGATGTGTGCTGAGGAAAGTATTTAACTTCATTGTACAATGTACAATGACAATGAAGTTATTCTATTCTGTTCCAGTCTATTTACGAATCTTCCTATATTTAGTCCCATTCTACAACTGCCTTCCCCCAAAACAAATCTAAAAACCAGCAGAATTTAGATCGTGCTACGAAACAAAACCATAAAGACATTCGTGTATTCAGGCTGAAGCAAAATCGTGGGGTGCAGACATCATAATAGCTGCACCACTTCCAACCCTGAAGATACACGTAAATTTACTTTAAAATAAGCATGTGTTTTATAAAGTGGAATTGTGGTTGAAGGGCCGGCTTCTGCACAGTAGGTTAACCATCAACCGCAGCTGCAGTAAATCTTGCCATCCAAGAGGCTGACAGTTTGAAACCGGATCAGGGTGAGCTCCTGGCCTTCAGCCCAGCTCCCCGCCCACCTAGTGGATTGAAAACAGCAATGTGAATAAATGAATAGGAACTGTATTAAGCAGGGAGGCATTTTAGGCACAGTGTTTCGATCAGAAAAAGGAGGCAAGTTTACGAACAAAGAAAGCTCTTTGGTAAGAAGATGGAGTGACAGCACCCCCTGTGGCCGGAACCTAGCACAGCCTCCAAAGATGCCGGAAGATGGGAAAAGCCTATATAAATATCTCTATCTGTTGTCTGTCTTGTCATATAACAGGCATTGAATGTTTGCCATATATGTGATCTGTGATCTGTATGGTTTCTAAGAAGATATAGCTTTACTATACTGAAGTACAGTAAAGGAGAAGAAACCCTGATCAATTAGTAATACAATCAAAGTACTGAAGATTTAGGCGCTGACAAAGTAGACTAATAACAAGCTGATCAAAACTGAATTTCAAAAGCCACAAGGAAATAGGTTGGCCTAAGATGCTTTAAAAACAAGATCAAAGCATATAAATAGAATTTTAAAGGGTCCATGGCATACAAAAACATTAATAAGATGTCAGTAATTATAATATGGTAACTGTGATGCATTTTAACAATGTCAAAGAAGCAGGTTGGGCTCTGAAAGAGAATGAATACATTAATCTTTAGTCACAGGTAACAGCACTGATTACTCTAGTATTGCTAACTGTATTTTAAATTTCAGCTGCTGTTGTTTTTTTACTGCTATATTTATAATCTCTCTTTTATTGTTAAAACATCTCAAGACTGCTTCTTTCTCTTATGTTTTTGAAAATCTGCATCAACATGCTCTTATTCTGCTTTCTTGGTTCTTGTAACTTCAGTATTTTGTTTTACAATCCTGCCAAAATTCAGCAGTGCAGCAGAAGGGGCTGTGAAAATTGACAGGGAAACATGCAACTGACAGGTTTTGTGTTGCCTATCCCGACAGGAAAAATGAGTAAATCAGATCTGAAACACACTAGATCATACTGTCTATCAACATAATATCAACACTAGTCTGAAAGCTATAAAGCAGCCACTTTCTCTCCATCTCTTAGACCAAAATATAACATCAGAATGGAATTCAAAATCTCACAATAAGAATGAAGAAGGCAACTTGAACTTTTTTTTTTTTTGTTGTGTCAGGAGCAACCGCTCCTGTTGTGAGAGAATTGGCCATCAGCAAGGACGTTGCCCAGGGGACGCCTGGATGATTTTTGATGTTTTATCATCCTTGTGGGAGGCTTCTCTCATGTCCCCACATGAGGAGCTGGAGCTAATAGTCCCTCTCATCCGCCTCTCCCCAGATTCGAACCTGCGACCTGTCGGTCTTCAGTCCTGCCGGCACAGTGCTTTAACCCACTGCACCACCGGGGGCTCCAACTTGAACTAAAACAATTTGAAAGTTTATAGGTGACATTTTACTTGGGATGCACTGAATATCAGCGTTGTTCTTATGACTACCAGCACAATATAGTCTCATTTATCAGAAAAGTAGTAGTATAATAAATAGCAAACTTTTCTTTTGTCCTTCTCTAGTAATATTCAATCGAGCATCAACCAATGCAGCTCATTTAAAGGAGATTTAGGACAGATGACAGAAGTACATAGCTATGCCACACATAATTAATTCACAAGATGTGCAAGATATTGCAATGACCTATTAGTTTAAATGGCTTTATTGTGTTTATGGGAGCTCCCAGTGGTGGTGCAGTGGGTTAAACCTCTGAGTTGCTGAACTTGCTGGCTGAAAGGTCAGTGGTTCAAATCCTGGGAGTAGAGTGAGCTCCCACTGTTAGCCCCAGCTTCTGCCAACTTAGCAGTTTGAAAACATGTAAATGTGAGTAAATCAATAGGTACCACTTCAATGGGAAGATAACAGCACTCCTAGTGGTCATGCCGGCCACATGACCTTGGAGACATCTATAGACAACGCTGGAGATGAGCACTACCCCCCAGAGTCGGACACAACTAGACTTAATACCTTTACAATTGCATTTACAGGACTTTCCGCTGTCTTCAGTCCATAAGACACCCAAAAGGATTTACATAAGATCAATATCATCAATATGAATACCTTATGACAATATTTTAAGCAGCAAAAAAGCCTATTTGAAAATATTATGATTTTGACAACTTCTACTCACAGACTCACTGATTCCAATAGCCCCTCCCTCTGCAGGGAGAAGAGCCCCAATTAATGAAGCAACAAACACAGTAGGGCACAGCAATAATAGCTGGATGATATTAACACTCAAATATGCACCAAGCAAGGCATCTCAGTTCTAGAAATTATATGTAAACCTTGTTTTTAAAATAAAAAATTGAAAGCTACCACTCTTTATTTTTTTTAAAAAAGGAAATCAAATTGGATTTCGTTGACTGCTTTCTTCAAATGCATACAGACCTTGAAATTGCATTGCTGAGGGGGATTTCTTTATGGGCGATGCAACCCTTAGGAAGATCCTCTGCCGCCAGGAAATTCGGCGAGGAGTAAGAGTGATTCCGCCAGCATTCAGGGAGTCATTACTGCATACAGAGGAGGTCCTTTTTCTTCTTTCTCCATCACTGTAGGATAAAAAGAAACCAACCTGTTATCATCTGGGATTCATCAAAGTCTAGGAAATACCCATGCAAAGCCAGCAAAACAGCCTTCAAAACACACACAGCATTACATTGTATCAATGTAATCATCATACATTGCTCGTCCCCAGATGTTTCTATTAAGGAGCCTGATCTCACTTTGGTGCAAGTGTTCCCCAGATTCCAACCTTTGCAACAGATTTCTCACTCATAACACACCAGAAAATTGCCATGAATCATTTAGAATCCCATAATGTCACTCTGAATAACTATAAATTGAGCAAACAATGCTCAAAACCAATACTGCACTGCAATGACAAGGAGAAACTGTACATTACAAAAGCCTCATGATCGGAATGAGGTTTCATTTTCACAAATCTGTTTCTATGTCCCTCGTGTACTTTACATCCTTAGTAAACCAGGAACACTATTTGTTTCAGTCATTTGGAGATGCAGAGACCTGCCAAGCCTTTTGGATAGATGATGCTACACCAGATATCTGGAATGAAGCTCCAAGTGAATGCATACATTAAGTCTTTTTCTTTTCTCACTGCATCAATATTTTAAAAGGCATTTTTGTGCAGGTTAACAAAAGAAGACCCAAATATCCACTTCTAAAGCGTTGTAATTCATTTTCTTTGCAGGTCTGGCAGCCAATGGTTTCTGAATGCAAGGAAAATATGACATAGAGAGACAAAACAGGAATACTAGCTGCCAGGAAAAAAAGTTTGCTTTATTTTCTACTGCCACTAAAAAGGGGCAAAGGAGAAATGCACATGACATGAAAAGAAATTGTTGTATTGCCCTCTAGCTTTCTTTGGCTAGCTCCTGTGATAATAAACTTTTAAAACTGTATTTCCATCAATGTCCATAGTGTCTCATTTTATTGTACTTACAATATTTATGCATCAGCAACAGAAAAAGTTCTGTTTTACATGGTACCATATGTTTTTTGCAAGGCAGACTTGGTTTTACTACTCTCCTGAGATTCATTAACTGAAGCAAAATGCAAAATGGGGCCTAAGTCAGCAGCATGTTATATCGACAGAAGTCCTATCCCGGAATGGCATGTAAATACAAACAGAAATCTAATAATAATGCATAACAATATACTTTATTTATATTCCGCCCTTCTCCCCTAGGGACTCAGGTGTGTGCTGGGGAAAGCATTCAATTTCATTAACAATAAAGTTATTCTATTCTATCACTGAGAAAGCTATACTTTAGTGGAAGAACTGATGCTATAGGTGTATGAAAACCCAGCTTCAATTCTTGGTGTCTTCAAGTAAGAAGAATTAGAAAGAAGTGAACAGTACGTGTTAAAAGCAGTATTATAAGAACAAAAGCCTCCCTTATTACAAAACCTTCACTGAATTTCAGAAGGGAAGAAAGAACAAAACATTCATGCGTTCTAGTCGTCACCTTCAGTAACCCACCTTCAGTTTGAAAAATCCTTAAGATGGTGGAAACCCATGATCAAACAAATTCCATCAAATATAGCCTAGGTGTATATCTTTCCATATAAGTCCTGTGCATATAACCCCTCTGTTGCAACAGCTCCACTGACTGTCAACTCTTTTCCAGGCACAATTCAAAGTGCTGGTTTAGACCTACAAAGCCCTATACGATTCCGGTCCAAGTTACCCGAAGAACTGCATATCTATGAACCTGGTAGATATCTCCAAAACTGGCCAGGGCTTTCTCTCTGTCCCATCATAGTTTCTAACGCATTTGGTGGGAATACAGGAGAAAGCCTTTTAGGTAGCTGTTCCCAGACTGTGGAATTTCCTCCCAAGAAAGACCAGGCTGGTCCTGTCCCTGCTAATCTTCCGAAAGTAGATCAAGACCTTCCTCTGCCAGCAGACATTTGGGAAAGGATAAGGAGCACACTGCTGGGGAAGTGAACAGCTCTGCGATCCAGATACTGGTAAGTGGATAGAATGAGTTACATTGCCAGGATGCCCTTCCTTGAAGTCTATGTGCTAATGCTGCAGGATGCAGTTGAGAAGTCCTTTTTTTATGGTTGTAACATGCTCTCCCATCTCCATCACTCTTTTGTTGTTGTTGTTGCTGGTGTTGTTGGGTAAGAGCAAGGAGAGATGTGGAACGCTGCTCTTTGCTGGCTGAGACCAATCCCTGGTTTCAAAGAAATACATATCCCCAAGCAAGTTGCATGAATTCGGGGAACAGAATCTAATGCAGCTGTCTCATCTATAAGAGAGCACTGATGGAGAATGTAAGAAAGAGGATAATTTCAGTTTGTTCTTGCACTAGTCACAGATTATGTATTTTATGCCTGCAAATCAATGTAGTCTGTCATGCATCTTTTTTATAAGTCCCACTGAACTTTTCAAGAAAACAATTAATGCGAAAAGAACTGTTCATTATGTGATATTAATAATCTGAATTGCTGATTGCTGAAAGCACCAAATACAAAATCAAAAAAGTTAGGGTGACACCCTGCAATTAATCATCATAAGGAGGCCAAACAAAAAAATCTCAAAAACATATTCAAAAAGAGAACCAGAGAAAAGGAAGAAGTCCAAGATACTAAACAGGAAAACAGTAGGTGGGTGTGAGCACATGACATTGCAGCAAAACCGTAGATAAAAACAAATAGATTGCATTAATGCAACAAAATATATTGGGTGAATTTATTAAGTAAAGGTAAAGGTTTTCCCCTGACATTAAGTCCAGTCATGTCCGACTCTGGGGTATGGTGCTCATCTCCATTCTAAACCGACGTTGTCTGTAGACATCTCCAAAGTCATGTGGCCAGCATGACTGCATGGAGCACTGTTACCTTCCCACCAGAGCGGTACCTATTGATCTACTCACATTTGCATGTTTTCGGACTGCTAGGTTGGCAGAAGCTGGGGCTGATAGTGGAAGCTCAAGCCGCTCCCCCGATTTGAACCTGCAACCTGTCGGTTAACAAGTTTAGCAAGCTCAGTGGTTTAACCCACCGTGCCACTGGAGCAATGTAAATTCTCTAGGACTGGAATAAAAGATACATGTCACCCTTCTATTCAGACATTAAACCTGCTTTCCAGATTTTATGCAGGTATATTGTTAGAATAGATTTTATTCAAATCTTTGGCTGTCTTTACATAAGTGTTTTAAGGAAACACTTATGGGAATGTTTGTTTCTAAAAGAAATTAGCCATCAGTTTTCCCTAATGTGGAAAAAAACAAGCTGAAATCTAAGACAGTTGCGTAAAATGTGTTCCAGAGAGAGGGGAACACAAGACAAGTCATCTCTAAAATGTGCCTGCTCCACTGTTGCATTTCACTGAAATCCAACTATTCTGAACTGTTTTCCAAACACAAAGACTAGAATTTTATCAGATTTTTTTAAAGTTTCAAAGGAAAAGGCACACCCATCTTAAAAAGAATACCAATAGAGGATATGAACAAGGAACAACAACCTTCACTGTTGCTTTTACTTTATTGTTTTGGTCTTAAGTTTCCCACACACAAAAGTAACGCTCTCAAATAAATTAAATTTGTTTATACTTTGGACATGACTTGTTTTGTTAACACTACAGCATTGCAGATACTAGAACTCTTTTGACAACAACAAGATACTTAAGATTGCCCTTAGATCACATCGCAGTTCTGAATAAAATCAGTATTAAATTTAAAAGGACCGGAAAGTTCCCATTTCTTTAGACTGAAACAGCACACTGGTTATGAAATTAGTTGTGATTTCATAACCAGTCTTGAAAAGTCTTGAACATTTTATCTTTTGGTACTTTTAACCTTAGGCACCTGACATTATCTAAAAGTAATTACCAAAATGTTAACCTACCTCTGAAAGATTATGAGATCATGATGAAGAATTTCTCTAGGTTTGAAAACTTTTAAAAGAGAAACAACTCTGGTACAAAAACTAGGTTGCAATTGCAGAACTTCTTTTTTCTTCCTTTTTCACATCTTATTAATTTACTACAGAGTTTTTCTAAATACAAGCAGGGATTTTCCTACTGAGAAGAATCATCCACCAACTCCATCCAACCATAACAATGAAGCGCTAGACTTTTATAGCATTCTTCTATTGTCATCCTAATATTATTTTCCCCTTCTGCATATAATAAAATCTTTTTGACATTTAATCCACAAAGTTTTGCTGTGACAGATTTTGCATTCTCTCTTCAGATTGGCTTTCAGTTCAACTTCCCCTTTCCTTTGAAGAAAAACCCAACAATTAAAAAAAAAACCCTTTGGTGTGTATCTTTTGAAAGGAACCGTAAAGCCAAAAACATTATTTATATACAGACAGTGAAGAGGGAAAGCAACAACTCAAATGTTCACACAATTTTATCTAACCAATGTGATTCATCGTCACCCAGAAATAAATGAAAGCATTTCTCCCCAGAGGCTGTAAAGTTCCTATCAATGTTAATCCTCCAACTGACAGAGTCTGATGTCATCCATCCAAGTGTTTTAGGTGTTTCTGCTAAAAACAAACAAACATACACACATCCTCTCTTGGATTTCTTTTGCTACCAAGAAAAAAAACGATACATAAAATGATAAGCAGTATGTCTAAGTATCAGGGAGTTCTGTCAGGGAAAACAACCCTAAAATATAGCAGAGCATCCAAAAATCAAACATGATACTTAAATTTGAGCATTCAGCTCACTCGCGAGCAGAGCATGAAGCACCGTTTTATGTGGCTGTAAAGAATTAAGAGCTTAGGCAGGCAAAGATGCAGAGTCTAATCTTAAAAATCACAAAACATTTATTTGCAATAATAAAGAACTAACTACATTTCTTCATGGTAAATAACTGGGTCTGAGATACTCTAACACCCATCTCTTCCAAAGTTTCAAAGAGAGGGGAAAAAAGAAAGGATATAAATGAAACAAATCAATAAAAAATAAAAGTATTAGTAATAATAATAATAATAATAAACCTTTATTTATACCCCGCTACCATCTCCCGAAGGACTCGGTGCGGCTTACAAGAGGCCGAGCCCGAATACATCAGTAGAAGAGGAGGAGGAGGAGGAGGAGGAGGAGGAGGAGGAGGAGGAAGATCTTTATTTTTCTACCCCGCCTCCATCTCCCCGAAGGGACTCGAGACGACTTACATGGGGCCAAGCCCAAGGCAAAATACAATTAAAAACAAAGCGATAACAATTAAGACAGCATAAAACAGCATAACAATAATAGCAAGCATCAACAGTAACTGCAGACTAATTTTGGAGGGGGAGAAGAGGACCACTATGCAAGCTGGTTAAAGGGTACGCCTACTCTTTCAAGCTCTAGTGTGATACCATCCCCAGGTAGCCCTTGGGGGTGTCTGCCCCCCTCCCCCCGGCTCAGTCCTGTGCTGTTCCCATTAGCCTCATTCCACAGGCCTTTAAAACTGAAGGGAAGTGAATGAGGCCAATTAGGAACTGCAAGAGGAAGGTGAGATTGCCAGCCTTCACCTGATGGAGGGGTGTGGCTTCCCAAATCCCCTCATTCATGCTGCCTACCTCTCTGACATGCTATGCCTTCACCGTTGCAATCATTACTTTTGGCAGCAAATCCTTCTTTTTTTTTTGTAATTTACACCTTCAAAATTGAGATGTGCATTATATTCAGTAGCACAATATACTCAAGTAAGTAAGTACAGTACTCATAAGTCTAAAATTTTAGTCAAAAATCAATGAAAAAGAATGGGGCTGACTTATCTTGGGTTAATGTGAGTACTGTACCTTAAAAAAGGTACAGTACTTATCAAAAGAAGGGACTATCCCATTCTCTTAGTAGAGTGGCAAAAGGTAAGAGCTTAGCTCATCCCAGAACTCTAGAAAATCACCAACTCCCTCTGCTCTCTCCATTATGGTACCACTTCTAGCTTTTCTGACTGCTTGGGTGGGGAAATGGCAGAGGAGGCTGGGGCGACTGGCCGCTTTAGTCAGGATTCATGCTGTCCCTTCTCTGCTGAACGACCCCCGATAACTTTGGCCCCTGAATCTCCCTCGACTTATACATGAAGTCATTTTATGCACGGGTATATGTAGTAGTAAAAAAAACCCCTCATTACATTGAATCATAGATTGCAACACAGTCTATGTTTTTATGAGCAACCACATTTCAAAAGCCATTCAAGTTATATATTTTTTCAAAACAAACCAATATAAGACTGCTTGGAAAACTAAAGATGGAGAAGGCACTTCCAGCATTCATCATGTGACTTACAAAGATGTATTCCGTTGCAAGAAAAATCTTTTGTCATTTCAGTCCCCGAGAAAGAGAAGAGGAATGGGTCTATATAGATGACTTTGCATAATACTCACCTTCTCATCTTGGATCATACTGATAAGTTACACTTGTTATGATGTGTAATTGTGTTTAGTCCAAACAAACTGCAGCTCTGGAGCAATTATTCAGGGAATCCTATAAAAGTTCACCTTGTACACCACCCTCACTCACATCAAGCACCATTTTCTACTATAGATGGTTCCATTCACATTCCTTATTTTTAAAGCATTATCAATTTCAATGTTAGTCACACTTGAGGAACTTTAACACTTCTCCTCCCATTTATAGAACACTCTCAAGAAGCTAATTAGTAGAATGCACACTAAAATCAACATTGCCAATGCTTAGCACACACACAAAAAATAAGCCTTTAAAAAACTTGATGTGTATTCTTTATAGTTATTCTAACGATAACATGAACTTGGTTGAATGTTTGCAATCTCATAGCCTTGCTTGCAGTTGTTTAAAAAATATTGTAATTTCTAATTAGTATCTCTTTAAAGGTAGATCAACAACAACTGAGGTGGAAAGCACAGTACTTGCCATTGGCCAAGATCAAAATATATAAAAGACTTTCCCATCCAAGTCTAAATTAAGCATATTGATTAGATGTGTGAGGGCCTCCAGAACACAATATTCTGTATCTCACACCTCAGATCTTTTTTAGATTAAAAGAAAAAACCCTACAGTGGTTAAAGAATAACATCATGAGATTTGAAGAAGACCCTCATGGTTTCTCACCACTTAGGTCTGGCAATGTTGATATATATACATAGATAGATAGAGATAGATAGCAAGATGTCTTTGTTGCAACTTCAAACAAGCATTTCTAGAGAAACGCACTGTTCAGAGATTCTTGTGAAGCAAAGTATACATCTGAGCAGTGAGTGGCAGCCAAAAAAGAAAGTCCTACTGCAAGCCAGCTTTGTAGGAAGTGCAATGTTGCAGGGCAGGCAGAAGCCAACGCTCTCACCTCTTGGAGAGTTCGTTTTCAGACTGTGGAGATGGCTTTCCTGAGCTCTGGTAAAAGCTTTTCAGGAAAGATGGGGCAGAGAAGGAAGAAGGGAGACTGGATGATGTAGATGAATCGCTCTCACTGTAAGTACGTCGGGAAATTGCCGGCCTGACAGCAGGCGATAAGAGAAAATGGAGCAAACAAGTTTCAGTACAACATTTTTCAAAGAACTCCTGGACTCGCATCTGTACTCACCATATCAGAGGCTGGGGTCACCTAAGATCTAAATCATAACTGGGGTGATCACCAAAACTGTGTGTGAATTAGTTGCATTATATATATCAATACATTGTTAGGCTTTGAATTAAGCTAAAGTGATGGGCATAAATCTGAAAACAACCTAAACTGGTGGCATCATGTGCCTTATTCTACAGCAGAGCTTTGGAAGTTAAGAGGAACCACCCAGGATGTCAGACTTTTTCCCTAAATTAGTAAAGCCCCAAGCTCTGTGATACACTGAGATATAAGGGCAAATTGAGCCAACAATATTCTGTTGGCCAAACCTTGGGCTGGGATTGAAACAGTCAGCTTTGCAATTAACTCACTCCTGCCCTTCAAAAATCTTGGGCAGAACGATTGAAATAAGTTAAAATCCACAATACAATATGGAAATGCAAGAGAGATTGACAGTTGTATCTTTTGGTAGCAACCGCCATCCATATTAGACTTCTACCATTTTTGAGTGTGTATTCCCTAAATACCATAAGTTCTGTATGTATTTAATGTGTAGTGTTATTAAAGTTATCTTATGCAGCCATTAACTCTACTTATATTTAGGATTTATAGTTGGAAGCCCTCCCCCCAGCACCAACTGCTGTTCTGGGCCAGAATGAAGAAAGAGGGGGCCAGGAGGACAGTTCCATCTTGTCTCCTGTGCTATGCTAATAATATAATATAATATATTGTATATTCATATAATATTTATAATATTATAATGTAACACAATATAATACTACTACTAATAATAGAATATTATAATTATATATTTTATATTACATGTAATATTACGAATAATATTACAATATAATGGTATAGTACAATATAGTAATATAATACTAATATTGTGCTATGCTAATAATAAAATATATTGTATGCATATAGATGTTGTAAGCCACTCTGAGTCCCCTTCGGGGTGAGAAGGGCAGCATATAAATGCCATAAATAAATAAATAAATAAATTTTGTAATTTCGTAATTCCTATTGTTGTTCTCTGCTAGTGCATGTCTGGGTAACGGTTTGCTTGCTTCTCACAAGATAGTTTTTAAAAATCTCACTTTGTAAAAAGTTGTTATGAAATAACAGAACATTCAGCTACATACCATAAAAGTAAATCAAGATAAAATAGTTATTGGGAAGAAAATGAAAGAAACAAGAAATTAAATTAACTTCTCCAATGACATTTTAGCAAATAAACAAGTAGTAAATTTACTAATTTAATAAATAAACTTTATTTTTTTTAAAAAAAAACAGTTACCGTATGTCAAAATATTGAAGACGTGATAATGTTGAAATATTCAAATGAGCTTTAAAACATTTCTCCATTTGGTGGGAGTATAGGAGCACGAATACATACATTAAAATAGTTTTAAGATTTTTAAAGAAGAGTAGGCATTTCAGTCTGTGCTACTAAACATCTGAGTCTACAGACATGCACAAAAATAACCCATGACCAAGCTGTTGCAAAGCTGCAGAAAATCTGCTGACAAAGCATGGCTGGAACTTCACCGTAATGGGCAAATAAATGCTGCCAGCAAGCCTAACGCAATCATTGTTCAAGTTTCCTTTTTCACTGCACCATCATGATTAGAGTTTGAAAAAAACAAAAAGAAATTTATCTGCAAAACTCAAGGTCGCTCTTTCCCCAAATACAGGCAGTTTGCAGGTTACAATCACCCGACTTACAAACGAAAGAACAGGGGTGAGACAACAGGAAGCAAGACAAATCTACTCCTAGGAAGAGAAATTTGCTCCTGAAAGAGTTATAGGGAAAAGGTTTCTCTACTGAAGCTTTATCACCAATCCTTGTTTCCACAACAAGCCAATTTTTTCAAAATCCTATTATTACCAGGACAGAAAGTGAGGTGAAGTTTTTTGAACAAACACCACAAGGTGTTAACCCTTTTTACAAAATTTGTAAAAAAAAAAAACTTGGCTGGAATTACACTTTAAAAACAAAGTTGTTTTGACTTACATAGAAATTCATCTTAAGAACAACCCTACAGAACCTATCTTGTTTGTAACTTGGGGACTGCCTGTAATGGTTTTTGCTCCTCCCACCTCCACCCCCAAACACACAAATAGTATATTTAAAAGAGTTCCACTCTAGAGAAGCTAGAGATGGGGAAACTGTAGATGGGGAAACTGTAGGTGCTGTAGGGCCAACAACATCTGGAGAGTCAAGGGTTCGTCTATGCTGCCCTAAGCTAACTACTGATACAGACCGAGAGAAAATTTCTGAGATAATACTTCCCCTTATCAAACAAGCCTACAATTTGGGGTAATCTGCTGTGAGCAGTTTGGGTAAAGGTTACAACACAGAGCTGGAGGAACATCCTGAACTTTAAATGGAGCTATAATAGTAACACAACTACACACAGGTTGGGAAACTGAAACAAGGAGCTTAAACTGCATCTGTCACACTACATTGTTTGGCTACAGGTATACACACAAAATGTACTGAGTGTTGGAGATCACTGAAAGTATAACTTCTGACTGAGGTGGGAGGGATGTGTAATTCCACAGCAAGGAAATCACCCATAGGGGCTTCTGGTGGCGTTGTAATAGCCAATTTTGTAGTGAATTTGTTTAACAAGCTGTCACATCAGACATTTAGACAGAGAAAGAAACCAAACAAGACTGATCAAAACATCAACCTCTTGGAAACCTTAATTTCTTCTACCCTGGAAAAAGAGCTCTTTCTAAATACTTCTTACGAATCCTCCCATCTTGGATAACATAGGTAATGGCTTAGTACTGAAGGACTGAAGAGTGCTCTGTGAGTGTTTCATGGATTTGTATAGCCAAATTCAGTAGTAGTGCTCAAGAAGTTCCCCATATATACCCAACTCTGAATGTGAGTAGATTTTGGCATTTTGAGGTTTAGGATATTATTATTTTTTAAAGGTTATTATAGGTTATATTATATTATAGGATAAGATGTAGGATATTATTTTTATTCTCAAACTTGGAACTGATCTACAATATTAAAGTATTGAGTATTATTGTCATTGTAGTGTAGGTTTGAACTTTGAACTAGAACTCTGGAGAGCAAGATTTTAATGCCTGCTCAGTCATGGAAACCCACTGGGTGAACCTACACAAATCACACTGAACAAGTCTTGCCAAGAAAATCCCATGAAAGGTTTACTTGCAGTCGCCATAAGTTGGAAACAACTTGAAGGCACATAACAATAATTACTACAAACTACCAGGTTTCCAGGTTGCATTTAGTCTGCAATCATTGTCTACTCAGAGGTATAAGCAATGCCCAGGTAGTTATTTACAAAATTTCATGCTTACAGACAAAAACTTGACAAGTGCATAATACTATTCAATACCCATTGGCATTATAGGAATCTAAGACTACCAAAGATTTACCTACTGTCACATATGCCTTGGTCATAGCCAGGTTACACTAGTGCAGCATTTCTCAACCTGGGGGTCAGGAGAGGTCACGAGAGGGTTTCAGTGGGGTCACCAAAGACCATCAGAAAACACGTATTTCTAATGGTCTTAGGAACCCATTTGGCAGAGAAGGCCGAGGATCTCTCCACCTGTCCTTCTTTTTGGAAACCCATGGTGAATCCTCCCACCAAAAGCCCACCTCCTGCTTTGACTGGCCAGCCTCTCAGCTGGCTTCTCAGCTGGCCTCTCAGCCAAGGGGGGGGGGGCTGTTTCTGAGACTCTAAGCGGGGAGGAGAGAGCAGACGTGCTCGGTGCATGGTACACATGTGCGGGTGAAGGAGAGCGTGAAAGACTGGAGGAAGGCTCTTGTCCCTTCAAGGCAGGGGGGAAAGCGCCTGTGATTGTAGGTTAAATATAAATCCCAGCAACTGCAACTCCCAAATGACAAAATCAATCCCCACCCTCACACCACCAGTATTCAAATTTGGGCGTATTGGGTATTTGTGCCAAATTTGGTCCAGTGAATGAAAATATATCCTGCATATCAGATATTTACATTATGTTGCATAACAATAGAAAATTACAGTTATCAAGTAGCAACGAAAATTATTTTATGGTGGGCGTCACCACAACATGAAGAACTGTATGTAAGGGGTCGGAGCATTAGGAACATTGAGAACCACTGCACTACTGCAACATGGTATACACAGGGGAGCCTTTCTAAAGTGTGTAGAAATTGTATTTGCTGCAGAATGCAGAGGATAAAGGGATAAAAGGGAGATAGATTTGAGCTCAGTTTATTCCCTGCTTGTTTCAACATCTAACTGCCATTGTTAATGGACTAAATGATACCTTCCCTATGTCACACCATTAAAGGGAATGCAAGATGTGATACAGATACTCTAAACTGAGTGAATATGACGCTGAATAGGTACCACTGTCAGTTTGGTTCCTGGTTTTGCATTGCTTAAGATACTCACTGCATAAACTCTGCTTTTTTGATAGATCTTTTTACTATGTTGATAATTTCCCAGCCACTTTTAGAGTCACGTTTGAAAAGTCAAACGGCCCATGGAAGTTAAGAAAAAACATAAAATAAAGTGCCTGTGACAGATTTTTCAACAATAGAGAGAGAAGTGGACTTCTTCCACAAAAAAGCAGAATAAGAGTGAAGTCCCTCCAAAAACACAGAAGACAATGAAACAACCAGACAGATAGACATTATGAAAGCTCTGTCTCTTACAATTTTTTGAGCTGCTCACAAATTAATGGGTCCAGCTACTTTTCTTTTTCTCTCACACGTTCCAGCCAAGTTTTCACAAAAGAGCTTCTGAGCAAAATGAACTCAAAAGACCAATTCTTAACCTACAAGCAATACCTATACCAGGTTCTAATTGCTTTCTAAATTGCAATGCAACCTAATAATATGTGCTCAGTTACTTATAAAACAAAACAAACACTGCTACTATTCTGAAACTGCTCTTGACTTTTAAGTTCCAAGCTATGTGCCACCTTCAAAGAAAAACTGAGAAATTGAGATCAACCATGCAAGTTCCACGCATTATCAAAGGCTTTCATGACCGGAATCACTGGATTGTTGTAGGTTTTTCAGGCTATATGAGCATGTTCTAGAAGCATTCTCTCCTGACATTTCACCTGCATCTATGGCAGGCATCCTCAGAGGTTGTGAGACCTCACAACCTCTGAGGATGCCTGCCATAGATGCAGGCGAAACGTTAGGAGAGAATGCTTCTAGAATATGGCCATATAACCCGAAAAATCTACAACAACCCATGCAAGTTCCTTTCTTTATTATGCTAAACCAACAGCAGCATGGTTTGACTCTGAGCTCACCTGCCATGCTCCACAGAATTCTGCCTCAGGAGGGGAGACTTGACACTTTGGGACCTCCCGTCTTGGAAAGTGATCCTCTTCTTTGAGCTGGAGGGCGGGTGGCTGAAGGTGTGGGCCCGCCGCCGGAACTGGGGTGAATCAGAATCCTCCTCAGGGAACGGCTGCCAGACGGATGATATGGGAGACGCAGGAGGGGTCAGAGGAGGGGACTCCCCAGAGGAACAGTCCTAAAAGCAGGCAGGCAAAGACACGAATGAAGATCTCTCTTCGATCTGCCCCATAACTTTGAAGAATGTCAGAGTGATCTGCCGCTTCAAGAATGAAGGAAAGAGCTGAAGCTGCCCGCTCTACATAAAAAAAGAAACCAGACTATTGTATGCTAATGATAGCTATGCCAAACATCCTTTGCCCTGGGAAGTGCCATGTCCTCAGACAATATTGCAGCGAACTCTGAACAGCACTCAGAAGAATCTACATGTTACTAGACAGAAATCTGGGGTATGCGAAGAGGAAGGAGAGGGTGGGGAAAAAAGCAAGCCCCAGGCCTGGGTTCCAATCCAAATTGGCTTCTGCATTCATTTCCTCGACATATCATGTAAAGGGTTTCCTGCCTTGTCAAAGCAGTATCCTGGAAAAATGGCTCTATTATTTTAAAAAGCTATGTTAAGCGCAACAGGAAAATTAGAAGTCACAAAAAACATTCCACGTCCACCTCTCTCAGGAGGAAGGTAATCCCAAGTGCTTGTGCAGCTGAGAATTTAAACAGGAAATAAATGGAAAGTGAACAACAAACTGTTTCTGTATGCTGCACAGCAAAGAATGATAGATTTAAAGTGTCATGGCTTTAGAGATAGCAAGTGAATTGGCATAAACAAAGGCTTTTGTGGAGGGTTTTGGCTCTACATGTTTATTTCCCCCAAATGAATTCACTTTCAAACAGCCAAAAAGTCACTGACTTTGTGTCTACAAAACAAATAGGGTTTTTAATATAGTTTACTTCTGTATTATTCAGGGGAAATATAAGCAGGATATACCTGCTCAGTTCTCTCTTATAATGTATTTTAAAGCAGCCTTGTTCGCTATTATTAGCCCAAGCATATATGTATACACACATGAACATAAATCTACTACACTGCTAGCAAATATTTGTCTCTATTTCCTCTTTAACTATCCTAATTTTACAAACATAATAGTCTGACGATAACTACAGGCTACAAGGTAAAGGGCTACTACCTATATAGTAAAGGTAAAGGTTTGCCCTTGACATTAAGTCTAGTCGGGTCCGACTCTGAGGGATGGTGCTCATCTCCATTTCTAAGCTGAAGAGCTGCTGTTGTCCATAGACGCCTCCAAGGACATGTGGCCAGCATGACTGCATGGAGCGCCATTACCTTCCTGCAGAAGCAGTACCTATTGATCTACTCACATTTGCATGTTTTCGAACTGCTAGGCTGGCAGAAACTGGGGCTAACAGTGGGAGCTCACCCCACTCCCCAGATTTGAACCACCAACCTTTCGGTCAGCAAGTTCAACCGCTCAGCAGTTTAATCTGCTGTGCCACCGGGGGGGGGGGGCACTACCTATATGACACATTTCTCCCCATTTCTTTAGTATGTTCATTTTATATTTGTAAAAAGATTTTAAATGACTACCTATATGCCACTATTTAAAAATCTTTTTACAAATATAAAATAAACATACTAGAGAAATTAAGATGGAGAGAAATGTGTATATAATACATACATGTATATGGGGCATAAAAAAAAGAAAATAAGAAAACCTACGTAGTCTTATATTTCATGATTTGACAACATTTTTTCTTAAATGCATGTTACCTACTTTGTCAGAAGTGAGGTTGTTGCATCTTTCAAAACTGTCCATGCTCCCTAAACGGCCGCGCATTCTGTTTGCTCCCTACAGAATCAAAAGGCCATACATTACATTTTTATTTATATAGATTGTGGAACCAGAATAGATCTTCATAGTCACTGACAGACCCACCACCAAGACCCTTGGAAAACAATCATACTCAGCCACAAGTGATTGCCTATGATGATGATGATGATGATGATGATGATTCATTGGCAAAATTAGTACTACTTTCAAAATAAGACTGTATCAGAAACACTGGTGTGGTTTCAAGGACTTTCAGGGTTAAATACATAGTCAGATCGAAATAGCCATGGATTCTGCATCCATAGATTGCACCATCCACAACTTGAATTTATTTTTAATTTGAAAAAGCAAGAATTGATTTTAATACATCACTATATGTAATATAGCCCACCCACCCCCACCCCAAAAAAGTCCTGGTGTATTGGTTTTTAGGTCGGGTCCTGGAATTATTGGGACACTAATTCAGAAAATTGCCATAGACTGACCACATCAACTCTAGTTTCTTAGATATGGTTATCATGATTTCTTATGGGCGACCAGATGATTAGTGGTATATGGTATTTGTTCTGTATCTCAAAAACTAGAACTGATAGGGAAAAACTGGTGCAGTTTTTCAGATCAGCAATTCAAATATACCCAGAAACAGGTCCAATATTTGAGGCACGGAAAGAGAGAGAGAGAGAAGGCTAGAGGGACAAGTGGGAATTAGAACAAAACTGCCATCTTTCTTCTCTTGCCTAGAGGATCAAAAACGCCCTTTTGCTGAAAGATAATTCAGGATTTGCTCTAAATTTTAGCCCAGAACTGCCATCTGGACTAAAGGTCAGAAATTTGAATAGCTTCAAACCGAAGTCACAATTGTATTAGCATGGGAGGATATTCTCCAGGATAAACATCTAACTATCCACATGTGCATTGCCTTTCTTTCTTGAACTCACTGTCAGGTGGAAATATTTTATGTATTACATTTTCATCAGAGAAATACAGGATTTGATATAATGACCTTAAACCCACAAGACTTATATTTGCTTTTAAATAAATGTCATTTTCTTTCAAGATAACTGAACATTTGTACACCTAAAACATGTTGAACAGAATTCTTCAAAGTGAAACTAGTATTTATTGGCAGACAGGAAACAAGAAGAGAAATAAATGGAGGTATTTTAATAGCTCAGAGTTTTGCTTCAGGGAAGCATCAAGATTTCCTTTCACTGTTCAAAAAATGTGCTTACTGTTTGCATTACATTTTTTAGCTACCAAACATTGAGCCTGGCATGCCTTGAAAACAAGAGGCATATGTTGCAGTTATGAGCTTTTGGGCTGAATGTAGGTTAAATTTATTCAGTTAACTAAAAACTATTTTTGTCTTCCACCCCTCCACTATTCCTCCTCAGATAACTCAATAGTGTTTCAGCTTTTTCAACTGACAGTGAAGCTAAATCAATATGAAGAGAAACACTTCTTGAATGTTTTTTCTTTAGATTTTTTTCCAGTTAATATAAAATATACCTATGAGATACTAATGTGTTGTGGGATCTTAATATTGCAGGTCATTTGGAATCAGAATTTCATATACGAGTAACATTGATATTAGGACCAACATTGGTTTCTTCTCATCACTCTCTTTTCTACTCCTTCTGAAAGCCAAATCAGAGGAGAGTGGGAAGGGAACAGTGGCTATGACCATGGATTTTAGCAGTACCCTCCCCAATTTTGGAGAAGACAACCTGTTTGCATTGGATTTGTAGCAAGCAAGCAAATACTGTCATTCTTCTATATTTGCCTTTTTCTTCTAAAATCGAGTCCTCAAACCAGAACATGCTGAAAGTAATGTTCTGAAATGTCAGATTGGTCACTTATACATCTAAGCATGATCATATAACACTAATATTAAAATCACTTATTTGGCTGCCAAGTAGTATCATTACTCTTAAAGCCCTACATGACTTGGGTCCAGGTTACTATCAAGTCACCTCCCCCCATACAATCCGGCCCCTAATCTTAGGTCCTTTGGGGGACATTTATTCCAGTCAGCTTGGACTACACCAGGCATGGGCAAAATTCGCCCCCCCCCAGGTGTTTTGTACTTCAACTCCCACAATTCCTAACAGCCTAACAGTTGTAGTCCAAAATACCTGGATGGCCCTAGTTTTCTCATGCCTGGACTAGGCTGATGATGACTGCCCCTAGATTGCAGAATAACCTGCCAGAGAAGATTTGACAGCTGACTTTGCTGACTGAATTTTAAAACCAACAGAGATCTGTATCTTCTAGCAGCCTATTCAGAAGATTTTAAATTATACATTTTAAATTACTTGTTTTTACCTATGTTTAACTGATGGTTCATGTTGTATTTTAATTTGTTGCTGTTCCCAATCCATGGGAGGTGGGTAAGAAATAACAATAACAACATGTATTGTGAGAAACTGTGCATAAGAATACAAATCTCCATGAGGGCTTTTTAAAAATTCATCCTGACGTAGAAATGAGTCAAAAGGAAGCTAAAGCACACAAAACCCAAAGCCAACATATTGCCTAGTAGCCCTGAACAATTTTACTACAACTTTGAGTTCACAGGATTGCCCCATAAAACAGATGAAAGGCATTGCTCGAAATAGTCAGTTCCTACCCAACCGATATGAGAAGGCATTAATAGATTACTGCGATATTACTGATAACACAGACAAAAGTTATTTTGATGTCTTCATTTTTAGGCCTATTCCTGGGGTTATTTGGGGAACAGATTCAAAAAACTGTATCAGATAGACCACGTCAGCTCTAGTTTCTTAGATATGATTATCACGGTTTTCTACGGACAAGCAGGTAGTGACTGGTATATGGCATATGATCTATATCTCAAAAACTAGAGCTGACGGGATGAAACCGGTGCCATTTTTGGAATCAGAAGGTCAAGTATATCCAGAAACAGGTCTAACTAGAACATTAAGATCGTCTGGGGAGGCCCTGCTCTCGATCCCGCCTGCGTCACAGGCGCGCTTGGCGGGGACGAGAGACAGGGCCTTCTCAGTGGTGGCCCCTCGGCTATGGAATGCCTTGCCAGCAGACATCAGACAGGCACCTTCGTTGCTGACGTTTCGGAGAATGGTCAAGACCTGGCTTTACGAACAAGCGTTTGGCTAGGCAATGCAACTAATTAAGGAAGACGGTAATTGAAACATAGGAACGGCACAATGACTATGAGAATGGATCTGACTTCAACTGAGGTGTTATATATGTTGGTTGTTGATTTGTCCTGTCTGATTGTTAATTGTTGTGGAGCGACGTCATTGACCCTGTTGTTGTATTGTTGTGTTTTAATTGCACTGTAAACCGCATTGAGTCGCCTGTCAAGGGCTGAAAAATGCGGTATAAAAATGAAGCAAATAAATAAATAAATAAATAAATAACATTTGAGGCACCAAAATGTGTGTTAGACAATGTTATCTGTGAAACATCTATTTCTACTGAGAGCTCAAACTTACCCTTGAGAAGATGTTTTCAAGAGAACTAGTAAAAGATTTCTTGGCCTTGTTTTTCAGAATGTCAAGTTTGAATCTGCCACTACTAGCTGCATTTTCAGGAACTGTGTTGTTGGAAGCATTCTGCTAAAATAGATCCAAGCTTTGTTACCAAGCAATCAACGGAAGGCATCCAAACCATATTAGCATCCCTATATTAACATCCCTATATCTACATAAATAACAAATGCAGAAAGAAAAGTAATTTTGCCTTTTTTCAGTACTGTTTCAGTACTGCTAACAACCCTGGTGCTATTGTTGTTGTTCATTCGTTCAGTCGTCTCCGACTCTTCGTGACCTCATGGACCAGCCTACGCCAGAGCTCCCTGTCGGCCGTTACCACCCCCAGCTCCCTCAAGGTCAGTCCAGTCACTTCAAGGATGCCATCCATCCATCTTGCCCTTGGTCGGCCCCTCTTCCTTTTGCCTTTCACTTTCCCCAGCATAATTGTCTTCTCTAGGCTTTCCTGTCTCCTCATGATGTGGCCAAAGTACTTCAACTTTGTCTCTAGTATCTTTCCCTCCAGTGAGCAGTCGGGCTTTATTTCCTGGAGGATGGACTGGTTGGATCTTCTCGCAGCCCAAGGCACTCTCAGCACTTTCCTCCAACACCACAGCTCAAAAGCATCGATCTTCCTTCGCTCAGCCTTCCCTAAGGTCCAGCTCTCACATCCGTAGGTTACTACAGGGAATACCATGGCTTTGACTAGGCGGATCTTTGTTGCCAGTCTGATGTCTCTACTCTTTACTATTTTATCGAGATTGGACATTGCTCTCCTCCCAAGAAGTAAGCGTCTTCTGATTTCCTGAGCTACAGTCTGCATCTGCAGTAATCTTTGCACCTAGAAATACAAAGTCTGTCACGGCCTCCACGGTTTCTCCTTCTATTTTCCAGTTCACGGTTTCTCCTGGTGCTATTAGCTAATATCATATACCAGTGTTACAGTCTTTCATGCACAACATCAATCACTTCTAGCTAGGCCCCGAAAGACTGAGTTATAGGAAGTCCCTGATTTGAGTTTTGCTTCTAACAGAAACTCAGAAGATTTCTCTAGGCTACTGACTATCTCCATCTTTACCCTCAGTTCTGGGAAAGGGGGGTAAATGATAGCCTACCCTAAATCTGCTATAATGCGGTTGAAGCAGTTTAGTTCTATATGCAACCATTCTGCATGAAATCATTTTCATACCCCTTAGAAAAGCAGTCAAGAATGCAATTGTGATATTCAAAACAAAACAAAATGCTTACACAATCAAACAACAATTTAGTCCTCCGACAACGTGAATGTTATATTTACAACTCTACTGTGATTAACTGAGTTAGAACTAATGACATTCCCTAGATGTTATCAACACTTGTTGGCAGGTTTAGTGCTGGAGAAACTGTTCATATACCGGTGCCAACTCGGCAGTGAGCTAAGTATTTAACAGCCTAAACCACAGTGTCATGTTTCCTGATGTCAGCTGTAAGACTTAGGTTTTTGTTTTTCCACCAGAGTAAATCAGATAGGGAGAATACCATATTCTCCTTGCTTATCTAATCAACTGGCACCTCCTGACATATTCTAAGGAGGCAGTATGATTTCAACTTAGTTCTAGTGATTACTGTTTCATTTTTTTCTGGAAATCAGTTTTCCTTTTTTATATGCTACATTTTCCTGTACTGCTTTTTCTTATCCATGCTTTTAATAAAGTAGTCTTACAACATAACGACATAGAATAAAGATTTTACCACTGGTGCTTCTCCAATATGCACATGTGTCTTTTGTTTAGCTTCACATAGTTGTCGCAAATGTAAAATCACAAGCTCATTTTCTTCCTGGTCACTAATAGGTTTCATTTTCTGTGAAGTGAGAAAGAAGGAACATTTTTGACAGATTCACTATTCAGTTTTGATATTTCTATGACTAGAGGTATTTCATACTTTCGTTAATGGATCTCAAGATTAATTTCTTTGGCTATAGTTTAAAAATAGTAACAGGAGTGTGCAATTGCAATGTATTCATAGAAATTAATAGCAAAACTACTGTATATCATCAAGCATAAGCAGAGTTTGCATCCCTTTTTTTAGGCTGAAAAAGCCCCCCTCGGCTTTTACTCGAGTCAAAGTTATTTATTATTTTACTCTGTTGTTCTTGTTGTTGTTGCTGTTGTTACTAAATTTATTATTTTAAGCTATTTTTTATTATTATTATTATTATTATTATTATTATTACATTTACATTATTTTATTCTATTATTTTTATTGCATTTATTATTTTACTCTATTATTGTTACATTTTTATTACTCTATTATTACTGTTATTACATTTACATTATTTTACTCCATTATTATTATTATTACATTTATTATTTTACTCTATTCTTATTGGAAGGATACGTAAGCACGTTCACATTGAAGAAGGTTAGAATGATGGTTTAATTAGAGTTGGACAGTCTTACTTAAATTACAGTTTTATATAAATATTCAAAAACATTTAACCTACTGATGCCTCAATTAATGTAATTTTATTGCTATTTTTATTTTGAAATTTACCAGCAGCTGCTGCATTTCCCATCCTCAGCTTATACTCGAGTCAATACGTTTTCCCAGGTTTTTTTGTGGTAAAATTAGATGCCTCGGCTTATATTCAGGTAGGCTTATACTCGAGTATATACTATATTTAGATTTTGGAGCGATGCAGTGACAAAGAGGGATCATAAATTAATCACAGATGCAATGCTTTTGATTCTTGATGTTTCTCATCTAGTTACTCAAGCCCAAATGCTAACAAGGATTTGTTTATTACCTGAACACGCTCAAAGATGTCAGCTTGTTCATTGTCACTGAGGGATGACAGATGTCTCTGAATCACAAGTTTAGCTCTTGGTGGATAAAGCCCTAAAAATAGGAGAGAATCAAGCATTGACCAAACAAGTTACATCCATCTGACAAAATATTCCTTTGTCTTTCTTGCATGGAGCTGTAGAACATCATATATAAAATCTGAGCTTACCAATAGATGGATATGTACCTTAACACGCACTAAATCATGACAGAACATCAAAAATACATTTCATTTTTAAAAGAAATTAGAATTCCATGATGAAACAATTTTTAGTTCATATCATTCTACTTAAATTGATCGTGGAGTAAAATAAAAACAAGTTTCAAACAAGCAAGCAGGTAAATATAAATACAATTCTCGTATATAGTCCAATATATAATCCAAAATGGACTTTCTGTCCTTCTCTCTATGCATAAATATCTAAATTTGAAGGAAGTTAAGCTTGCTCGTTGGCTGTAAAAATAAATATCTGCATCTACCTGTTCATCATACACACATATATACACATCATGGCTGACTGAAGTAAGCAAAAGGGGCATCACAAGAACTGCCACAGCTCCAAATAGTGTTTACTTGTCTGTAGCACTGTGGCTTCTGCTATGACTATTAGATACATGGAGATTTTTTCTGGCTTTTCAACTGATCAGTCTACCTTGGACAATGTGTCCCCAGTTGTAAATGATGAAGTGATACAAGGCTCATGAAGTGTTAAAACTGAAGATGGGAGCATGAATGTACAGGCATGTCACACACTCCGATAATTCTAATGCTTGGATGCAGGTCACACTTTTGCACATTGAGCATCTGTGACACTTTCAGCTGAAAAAGACGGCATATTTCATTTTCACACTCAATGCACCATAGTCCAAGAAAGGTTCTTACAAATGGGTGCTTGGGGACACTGTGAGTATGGCTTACATGCCACCCACACCTTCATCCCCAGTTCTAGCCTTACACTGTTCAGGGTGATAACCAAAAGGGATAGAAGAGTACATTCATCACTCTGGAATTATACTGTTTAGCCAGCATCGCACCACCTGACATCTGCCAGAAAGTAGCAGCCAGTAATGAAAGGATCAAGGCATTGACATCTCTGGCCCATCCTCTGTTCGGATATCAGCCAGCACACTAACGTCTTAAATCAAGAAAGAGCTTCCTAAGATCTACAAAGATACTCGCAGGTACACCTGAGCAAGCAAGAGTCCAAAAGTGGCAGCCTAAAACCTGGCACCTCAATCCATGGCTGATACCAAATGAGAGACTCCCTCCTGGGCACACAGAAGACTGGGCAACTTGGAAGGCGCTGAACAGAGTGCATTCTGGTATCTCAAGGTGCACAGCCAATCTTAAGAAATGGGGCTATAAAATGGAGCCCACTACATGCGTGTGTGGAGAAGAGCAAACTACAGACCACCTATTACAATGCATCCTAAGCCCTGCCAGATGCACAATGAAGGACCATCTCGCAGTGAGACCAGGGGCACTCCAGGTGGTCAGCTTCTGGTCAAAGGAAATATTGTATAATGTCAAGTTTTTAACTTTGTGGGTTTTTTAAAACATTATAACTATACTCTCAATTTTCTTCTGACATGATAAATAAATAAAATCATTCTGAAATAATTGCTTCCATCTTGAAGGACAGACTAAAAATCTCTATGTTCAGAATTGTGTATTATCAGAGTCAGAATAGTATTGCTTAAGTGTGTACTTAAATGTTGGCTCTTTAGGTCAGTAAAGGGCAACCTTTACAGACCAGTGGGCTAAATGTAGTGCTGGATGCCTATCCAAACAAGGTGTGTATGTATAGATGCATACACACACCAGCCTTAGGTCACAAAAAATACCCTCCTTGACATTTCTGTGAGTAAATATTTTATTAGGCCAGAATAGACAACACAGAAAGTCTGAAAAATTGGCATTATAATTCACAATTAGGGTATAATTTCATGATACCCTAAGCTTTCAAATTAGGTTCCTGAAGAGGAAACATCTTATCCAGCGGTTGGACTCAAGTATTCTATTAGAGCAGTGTGGCTTCTGAGAAAAATTCTGACTTATCAACATAATAATGTGTTTGAGGGTGTTGTTGTTGTCTTGAAGGCAACTATCTTGTATCATTTGCTTTCTTGTTTCTTTTTATGACTCAAGGAAAAGAGAAGGTGGTGACTACGGCTTTCCTTTCATAATCTAATCTTCTTTAGGTGCTAAAGAAGTTATCCAATATTGAGTCACTTTTGCAGATACTACAATAAACAGAAACATCCCCTTTTTGCAGATATAGGTCCTAACAAAAATGTTCCTTTTTACACTTGCCCAAGACCCATTTTCTTCCTCACCCTTTCTCTAGCCAAATGTTTTAGCAGCATCGGGACTGGGAGGATAATGAAAAACTGGAGAAAAACAATCCTTCACTGTCAGGTTGCAGTACTGTGCCTCCAATAAACAATGCAATAAATCTTCAGCTAGGAAAGAATGTGATTCTACTCTTGCTGATCCTATTGCAGCTGTGTGTACCTGCGCAGCTCAGAAAAGGTAAACAATAAGTGCCTCCAGAATCTCTTATTGAGCAAGAGAGAAGAGGGGAAAGCAGATTAGTTTGAATCACTAGCTAATCTCAATGTGTTCAAACAAAAAAGTGTAGATCTTCAGACCAAAATGGAAACTGTGTTGTCGAAGGCCTTCATGGCCAGAATCACTGGGTTTCTGTAAGTTTTCCAAGCTGTATGGCCATGTTCCAGAAGCATTCTCTCCTAACGTTTTACCCACATCTATGGCAGGAATCCTCAGGGGTTGTGAGATCTGTTGGAAACTAGGCAAGTGAGCTTTATATATCTGTGGAAGTCCGGGGTGGGAGCGAGAACTTTTGTCTGTTTGAGGCAAGTATAAATGTTGCAATTGGCCACCTTGATTAGCATTGAATGGCCTTGCAGCTTCAAAGCCTGGCTGTTTCCTGCCTGGGAGAATCCTTTGTTGGGAGGTGTTAGCTGTTGAAAGCTGGTGTGTCTTCAAGTCATTTCTGAATCATGGTATTGTTAAGGCAAACCTTTCATAGGGTTTTCTTGGCAAGATTTGTTGAAAAGGGAGTTGACGTTGCCTTATGAGGCTGAGAGAGTGTTACTTATCCAAGGCCACCAAGTGAACTCCCATGGCTGAACAAGGATTTGAACCCTGATGTAGTGGTTAAGTCCATGCTCAAACCACTATACCATGCTGCCTTTTGTGGAAAATGTTGCATCCCCTTGGGGAGAAAGGTGGGGTATAAATACAGTTAATAATAAAAAAAAACCTGGTGAAAGAAAATGTCATAACTAGACGCATTATGAAAGACCATTCTCAAGAAGGTTCAAAATTTTTTGTTTGCCTATGCAGGGCTTACCTGACCTGGCTGTTTCATTTCACATGTTCATATTGTTAAAAGGTAAAGGTTTATCTTGACATTAAGTCTAGTTGTGTCTGACTCTGGGGGTTGATGCTCACCTCCATTTCTAAGCCAATGAGCCAGCGTTGTCCATAGACACCTCCAAGGTCATGTGGCCAGCATGGCTGCATGGAGTGCCTTTACCTTCCTGCCAAGGTGGTACCTATTGATCTACTCACATTTGCATGTTTTCGAACTGCTAGACTGACAGAAGCTGGGCCTAACATCAGGAGCTCACGCCACTCCCCGATTTCAAACCGCTGACCTTTCAGTCAGAGGTTTAACCTGGTGCGCCACCAGGGGGTTGTTCATATTGTTAGTTTTTGATAAAAAGTTTGCTTAAACCTATTAAACTACACTTCTCTGTCTTGATATGGGAGCTTATGCCCACTTTTTCTATATCATTTGTGCCTCTGGTGCTACATTTTAAAAGAATGAATATTCACAAAAAATATCTGTTGACGGAGGCATAGATCTTCTATCTCTTCCCATGCGATAAGGGAAAAATATACAGCAGTGGAAAATTAGTTTTTCCTTTAAAACGATCTCCATTTGAAACTGGATTGCATGTAGAGAAAAAACTTGTCCTGTTTTGCCTCTTTGCCCACCAGAGGGAGCTGAGAGTGCAACACGTCCTCTTCTGATGAATGCTGACTACAGGCGAAAGTGGCAATCCTGAAACTAGGGTTCTGGCTTGTCTCAAGTTTGAAAGTGTTTGGCTTCATCTCTTCCTTTGCGCAATCTGTACTGCTGAGTGTTGTAAATCGCTAGTCAACCTGACATGGGCTCTTAATCTTTACTGCTTTGCTTGTTACTGGGAAGCTGATTATCTGATTGTGGTATATTTTTGCTGGAATATTTGTAACCCAGCAAAAAAAGTTAGTGTGTTTAATGAAAAATGTTTGCTTATGATCAATAACTATGAGCATCATAGGCAGAGAAGCACTGGAGTCAAGGCAAAACACATCAATCTAGGGGCCCTTCCTCACAGCCCTATATCCCAGAACATCAAGGCAGAAAATCCCACATTATCTGAGTGTGGACTCAGATAACCCAGTTCAAAGCAGATATTCAGATATTGTGGGATTTTCTGCCTCGATAATCTAAGTTATAGGGCTGTGTGGACCCTAATGCAGTTATTGTTGGGGCTTCAGACAAAATGAGCTTTTGAAAACGAAATGACACTTATCCTCTATGTGTTTCTTTTTTTAATGATTAGTTATAAATGTTTTTAAAAAGTTGAACTCACTAAAGCCCCTTCTCCATTGCCATATAATCCCGATTATCAAAGAAGATAATCCACATTTGCTTTGAACTGGATTATATGAGTCCACACAGGTCAGTTGGAAACTAGGCAAGTGAGGCTTATATATCTGTAGAAGGTCCAGGGTGGAAGAAAGAACTCTTGTCTGTTTGAGGCACGTGTGAATGTTGCAATTGGTCACCTTGATTAGCATTGAATGGCCTTGCAGCTTCAAAGCCTGGCTGTAACTTCAAATCATTTCTGACTCATGGCATCATTAAGGCAAACCTCTCGTGAGGTTTTCTTGGCAAGATTTGCAATTGGCCATCTTGATTAGCATTGAATGGCCTTGCAACTTCAAAGACTGGCTACTTCCTGTCTGGGGGAATCCTTTGTTGGGAGGTGTTAGCCGCCCCGGATTTATTCTTGTCTGGAATTCCCCTGCTTTTTGAGTGTTGCTTTTTATTTACTTTTTATTTACTGCCCTGATTTTAGAGTTTTTTATGTTCATGGTTTTTTATGTTCATGGTTTTTTATGTTCATGGTTTCCTCCTTTCTGTTGACATTGTCCACATGCTAGTTGATTTCAATGGCTTCTCTGTGTAGTCTGACACGTTCTGTGGCTCTTTTGCATCATAAAGAGAGGAGGGGGGAAGCAGAATATTTTTCAAGGAAACAAAAGCTCACAAGTACCTTCGATCCTTTCACAGAGTTTATGCAATGAGTGCATTGGGCAGGCTTCGCAAAGCTTAATCTGAGTCTTGGCATTCTGTAGGGCTGCAGCCGTGCTAAAAGCTTGCTTCAGCGTGAGCATGACCTCATCAACCTGGAGGGGAAAAATAATTCGAAACCTGATTAGAAGATAAATAAACAGATAAAGTTAAGAAAGCTTGTTCCACATGTTTACTCAGATTCACAAATTTAGAAATGGGGAGACAATACATAAAGGGATTCAGGCCCATCTACACTGCCATATAAAATCCAGATTACCTGCTTTGAACTGGATTATATTATAGTGGAGACTCATATAATGCAGTTCAAAGCAGATTATGTGAATGATCTGCTTTCGATAATCTGAATTATATGGCTGTGTAGATCCAGCCTTTGAGAAGCCCCCCTGAAATTAAAAACACCCGCTCCCATTCATTTTAGCGAGGCCAAGCTGTAGTAGGTCTTCCTTATTTGTACAACAAATGGACTGCTTAAATTTGTTTTTGTTTTGTTTTGTTTTGTTTGTTTGTTTTGGACAGGCTCCAGCTCTATTTCCACACTGATTTAATTATCATGAGCCAAGTTTTCTTGATTTTCAGTTATTTTTTCAATCAGATAACACACCAACACATAAAGACAACTGATCAGTGTCATACATTTATGGGCATCACTTCCAGGCAAGAGCTGCTCCTTTCTGTAGTGTGTCCCATGGAAGGGTGCTGTTCCTTTATGCTGTGAGGTTAAAAAGAACCAAAGACAAACTGCCAGCCTATTAGTAACCAGATGAACAGCCCATCAGCCTTTATTGTTTCCAGACTCCAGTCTGGGCCTTGCCCCGACATAATCACAAATAGAGGCGTGCAAGATTCCCACACTCCCCCACTTTAGAGGGGCACAAACTTTACATTCTCTATGGGGAAAGGGGTCAGAGGTCATAAAGTTTCCCCTCTCCTAGTACAGTGATTCAAATCCATTTCCACACCTCGCCTCACTTTGTAGAAAAGCTTTTTCAGTATCTCCTTTCCCTTCATATATATTTAAATATAGAGACTTGTATCAGTTAAGAAAACCAGACCCTCCTTCTCCAAAACACTGGAATGCAATTAGTGTCTTACAGTAGTTTCTCTTCTATGCTTTGAACATTAAAACAACAATAATACTATTTGGGCATACGGCTACAGTTTTCTGTTTACAATGGAAAAGATTGTTTAAAAGATCCTCATGTTTGAATTGATATTTAACTGGGATTTGCTGGTTATTCAGAAACAAAGCAGCTTTCTCCTTTTAAATAAACCATCAATCGCTCTTGATCATTTACATTTATATCCCTCCACCAAAGTCTTATCTATCACAGGTGCCAAAGGATAAAATCTAGGTTGTTGTGTGTTTTCGGGGCTGTATGGCTATGCTCCAGAAGCATTCTCTCCTGACATTCCGCCTGCATTTATGGCAGGCATCCTCAGAGGTTGTGAAACTAGGAAAATGGGGTTTATATATCTGTGGAATGTCCACAGGTATATAAACCTCACTTGCCTAGTTCTCAACAGATCTCACAACCTCTGAGGGTGCCTGCCATAGATGCAGGCAAAATGTCAGGAGAGAATGCTTCTGGAACATGGCCATACAGCCCCAAAAACACACAACAACCCAGTGATTCCGGCCATGAAAGACAGTAACATTCTACTTCCTGAGATGCTATTAGCTATCAATTCAATGTTTAAGGGCTAAATCCCATGTTAGTCCTTCCTAAAATGGAGTCACTAAAACCAAGTGGATTGTGACTAACAAGTTCCATTCATTTCCAGGTAGGAAAGAAATTGAATGTATGATATAATGTGTTTTGTGAGCACTTTATCACTGAAAATAATCTTCTGTTCTGCTATCAACAAAGATATATAGGTATTTGAAGTCATTTCAAGTGAATGCATTCAGGGGTTATTTAAGGCTTCTATATCTCATACTAGGAAAGTTTACTTAGCCCCATTTACATATGACACAACAGATACCAGGACTGAAATGAGAGTATTCTCAAAATCTCATGTATATGCATTAAGAAAGAAAAGGCAGGCATCCTCCTTATAACTAGGAGGTAGTTCTGCTGATACATCATCCCAAAATGTCAATCTTTCTATTTTCTCAAACAATGGCTTTCGATCATAGTAGCACTCCCAAAGCTCTGATCAGTAAAGTGAATGGTTATGGTTTCTGAAAGTTGTAAGCAAACATAATCTGCAGGCATAAATTTAGAAACCATTGCTCAAAAGACTGGAATGGGACTAGGGGTTTCAGAAGTAATGTGGCTTCCTGGATCCTCCTGTACTTTGCAGCCACAGCAAAAGCACATCACTAAATTCTGATTCAGATTGTGCCCTCATTTCGTACCTCGTGGTGATGTCATGACTCATATATTGGCAAAAAGAGAAGGAGGATGAGTGCAGAGCCTCCTGACAATGGGCAGGAAGTGGTGGGTACATCCACATGTTCTAGATGGGGATGCATGATTTGAGAATTAGTGCACTCAAATGCAGGTAAGAGTATAGGCTTGGCAATACTAGGTGTCAGAATGCATCTGGGGATTGTAGTAGATTGTCAGCTGAGTATGAATCAGTAATACAATGTGGCTGCAAAAAATGAATGTGACATAGGCTTCACTAACAAAATTATTATTTCCAAGTCAGTAAATAAATTAATTCTTTACTGATCAACTCTCTTTTGGAATCCAGTATCTACTTCTGAGCCTGCATTTTAATGACAAATACAATTTGGAATTTGGTTCAAGAGAGCAAAATAAATAAATAAGTAGCTGGCACTATTGAAATCAAGTTCTAAGAAAAGGTGAAGTCACTGAGCAGGTTTTGTTTAGAAAAGTAGTGGCCTCTTCACATGCCAGAAGGCCCATCATATGGAAGACAGAAGTAGATCTTCTGGTCTTAGGTTATAGCAGGGGTCCTCAAACTGAGGCCCTCCAAGGTCATTTACCCGGCACTCACTCAGGATCAACCTAAGTCTGAAATGACTTGAAAGCACACAACAAAAACAACAACAAAAACAACAACAATCCTATCTCATCAGCCAAAAGCAGGGCCACATTTCCCATTGAAATACTAATAAGTTTGTATTTGTTAAAATTGTTCTTCATTTTAATTATTGTATTGTTTTTAAGTGGGGGTTTTTTTGCACTAAAAGATATGTGAGGTGTGCATAGGAATTCATTCATGCTTTTTTCAAATTATAATCTGGCCCTCCAAGAGCTTGAGGGACTGTGACCTGGCCCTCTGTTTAAAAGGTTTGAGGATCCCTGGGTTATAGGAAGGGAGATTTCAAATGAGAATTAGGAGAAAACAGATTAATAATGGAATCAGCTGCCTTCAGAGACTGGCCTGCTGAGAATGTGATTGGGATGGGTGGCCTGCAAGACACTCTGACACCGCCATGTTTCTATAAGTCTGGTGACTTGCATTGCTTTTCTTGCTGCTTAGTATTATACGAACAAGTCCAAACAAGAATTAAGTCAGAAGGACTTCATAATACAGAGTACTCCTCTTTTTACAAAAAGTAAGGAACTCATCACAGTTTGAAGTTTTATTCATCTCATGATAAAAATCACAAAGCAAGCTGAATAATGTTGAAAGAATTGTAGCTTACCAAAGACTCACTTGCACACTGGAATACATAGCAAACGTACTGGCTTATTCCCGGTTCAATAGATTCCCGACAAATGAAACCAAAATGATCAATGTGTTTTATGCCCTATAGGGAAAGAAAGAAAAAGCCAGGATATTATGAAAATGTGAATCAGTGATTATCTCAGCATACTTTGAAATCAGGAAAAAAACTGTACCCATGCATCCCACATAGTAATTTCCAATATTCCTTGTGGAAAGTACAATCCTTACATTGCTGCCTTATGAGAGAAAGTATAAAAGCACATACACCACAGTCGCCACTTGGACAGCAATGGAGCAATAAATCTACTCTAGATTTTAGTTTAAACTTTGAAAAAGTGATTAAAGGAGCTGAAGCTATCACCAGATAGGTTCAGCACCTTGGAGAGTTCCTTTAAAATTCAGTCTAAAACAGTGTTTCTTAACCAGGGGGTCAGGACCCCTGGGGGGCCATCAGGGGGGTTTCAGAGGGGTTGCCAAAGACCATCAGAAAACACAAATTTCTGATGATCTTAGGAACCCCTTTGGCAGAGAAGGCTGAAGATCTCTCTACCTGTCCAGTCTCTCCCTTTTTGGTATTGATGAACTACAACTCCCAGAATTCAGAAACAGCCCAATCCCCAACCCCACCAATATTCAATGTTGGCCATGTGGGTAGTGTGCTAAATTTGGTGCAGATCCATTGTGAGCTGGGTTCAGAGTATTCTTTGATTGTAGGTGAATTATAAATCTCAGCAATTACAATTCCCAAATGTCAAGTCCTATTTTCACCAAACTCAACCAGTGTTCACATCAGGGCATACTGATTAGAGGTGCCATGATTGGTCCAGATCAATCATTGTTTGAGTCCACAGTGCTCTCTGGATGTAGGTGATCTACAACTCCAAAATTCAAGGTCAATGCCCACCAAACTCTTCCAGTATTTTCTGTTGGTCACGGGAGTTCTGTGTGCCAAATTTAGTTCAATTCCATCGTTGGTGGAGTTCAGAATGCTCTTTGATTGTAGGTTAACTATAAATCCCAGTGAATGACAATATCAATCCCCCTCACCCCAAGTATTCAAATTTGGATGTATTGGGTATTTTGGCAAATTTGGTCCAGTGAATCAAAATACATCCTGCATATAAGATATTTACATTATGATTCATAATAGTACCATAATTACAGTTATGAAGTAGCAATGAAAATAATTTTATGATTGGGGGTCACCACAACACGAGCAATATTATTAAGGGGCCACGGTATTAGGAAGGTTGAGAACCAGTGGACTAAATCCAGAGCAGATGACATCAGAGCCACAGGCCTCCACTGAATGTATACATATAAATCATTCTGAAAAATAAAAATTTAGCACTGCTTCCAAGTGTGTTTACTTACCCGAATCTACACAGTATTATCTCTTCCGAAAACTAAACATTACATTTACTAGGCTATGCAGTAAAAACAAAATAGGCTCCTTTCTATGGTCAGGATCATTTTTATAACTTTGTGTTCATTTACTTAACATCAGGGCCAACCCTTTAAACAGAATGGGCATTGAATTGAGAGAACTGAGAAGGCTCTTTGCACAAGGGGATAAGGTTTTTCTCTAGGTGCTCTGACCTCATACTCCTCATCACAGAGGACTTTCTGAGGTAATGTGATCTCTCACTACATGTTAAGACTCAAGTCAAGCATGAAATCCTCAGGTGTCACACTCGAATAGCTCCTAATCTTTTCTGATGGCAATCCTAGTGAGGTAAATTCCCCCTCCACCTCTGAACTGCAGACAATGGCCACCCAGATGGAAAGATAACATCTACATTTGTGGGAGAATCAACCTAACAGCTTTAGACAAAGAAACAAACGGAGCAAAAGCAGCCAAGTTTTCTGTTTGCTGCTCCATCATAGAGGGCAAAAATAATTACAGGCTTGCTTTTTACTGTAAGATGTCTGCAGGACCACCACATATTCTAATTTAATTTAATTCAATGGTATGGGAGATGTTGTAATGGCAAAAAAGTTCTCCAAACACAGAGCCAGTGTTACTGCAAGTTGGTCCTTTGCTCTTTCATCTTAGTTATTTCCTAGGGGGATGCTTCAACTTGTGAACATTGTTTATTGTTCTACACAGTACAAGGAAACTCCACATAGCTACTTTGAAGTTCCATCATTTCACAGTTTACATTCATGGCCAACTTGTACACAATCAAGAACTTGGAAAAATTTCCTTTTTGGACTGCATCTTCCAGTATCTTTGAACCAACCCATTTGCTAGTATACCTCACTCTTCTGAACGCTGTTTGAGACAAGTTGCTTTTTCAGTTCAAATGAACAAACACAGAACAAAGTATTGTATATACTCAAGTATAAGCCTAGATTTTCAGCTCTTTTTGGGCTGAAAAAGCCCTCCTCGACATATACTATTACTCATTATTTTTATTTCATTTATTACTTTACTCTCTTTATTATTATTGGAAAACTTTGGAAGTTTTCCTTTGGAGCCTGTGCAGGCGCAGATACTACACATGTGTGCATTCACAGAGTCCACAAATTAAAAACATAAGTGCATTTACATTGAAGAAGGTTAGAATAATGGTTTAATCAAGGTTGAACACTGTTAAATTACAGTTTTATGTAAATATTCAAAAACATTTAACCTACCGATGCCTCAATTTATGTAATTTTATTGGTATTTATTTTTACTTTGAAATTTACCAGTAGCTGTTGCATTTCCCACCCTCTGCTTATACTCAAGTCAATACGTTTCCCCAGTTTTTGTGGTAAAATTAGGTGCCTCAGCTTACATTTGGGTCGGCTTATACCCAAGGATATACAATAAGATATATGGCTCAAGGAACTCTAAAATAACTTAGAAAAAAAGTTAAAATCTTGTATAAGAAATGCCTTTTGCTATTTTAGACAGAGATGGGAATGGTTCCTTTTACAAAAATAAGAGTTAGTACTATATCTTAAGTTTTTGGGGGGACGGGGGGACGGGACGGACATATTCTTCTTAGAGTAGAGCAATGGTTCTCAACCTGTGGGTCCCTAAGTGTTTTGGCCTACCAGCTGTTAGGATTTCTGGGAGTTGAAAGCCAAAACATCTGGGGACCCACAGGTTGAGAACCATGGGAGTAGAGAGACCCTTTTGAATGCTTGGCTAGGAAAATGGTGGCATTACTGACCAAGGGCAACTTTCCTCCTTCTGTGGAATAAGCTTTTCCACAGCTCATATTAAAACTCATAATTTGGGCCTCAAAACCTGTTCTCAACGTACCCACAAATATACAGAGTAGTTGCCTTTAACTAGATCTGCCTTTTAAAAAACAAAAACAAAGAAATGCCTAAGTTTCAAATGCTGTTTTATTTTTTTACCTCTGACTAGTATTGTTAGTTTCAGACCATAACAGCCATCCGTTTTCTGCTGCATTACCTTATATAATAGAATGAACTGTAAAATTCTTTAAATAAGTATGCAAAGTGTTATATCAAAAGTATCCACTATTTAATAAATAAAGAAAAATATTTTGAAAATGTTGATTATCATTAGCAAATTCTGTGAAAGGTTGGAAGTGGCATATCCTCAGCAAAACTGTGAAATCTAACAGATGTCTCTGTTGACACAACACATGAATTCTTTTCAATGCTATTGTCACTTTTCTGCAAATTATATTTTGCCTAAATGTGCTGAATCCTGTCATTAAAAACAGGAAATAACTAAGCAGATTTTACAAAGGGCGCCCACTCATGTCTTCTGCTTTCACTGAATTTGTCATTTTTTGTTTTGCTGTAAACATGTCCAAACATTTTCTGGTTCCCAAATAAAATTCTTACCTGAGAACATGAGGAAATATCTTTAAAGTTTTTTTCAAACACAACAGATTTACTGTCTGGACTAATAAGATTAATTTCAAATCGTCCAACCTTAAAAAAAGAAAAAAACTGTGTCAGGACAAGAAACAATTCACAATTATGTACAATGAAAACATAAAACCTGAGGAGTTAGAACATGCTTCTCGGTGTACATTTGGCTCTTCGTGTTCACGGATTCTGCATTCTCCACTTCAAAATACCACCCCCGCCCAAAAAAAAATCTTATCCTAAATCAAACCACAATTTTGTCAGTTTATATGAGGGACAGCATTTTAAGACATGGTTGAATCCAAGGATGCAGAGCTGTGGGTATGGACAGCCAACGGTATAAAAGGTAAATGTTTCCCCATGATATTGAAGCTCTAGGGGGTGGTGCTCATCTCCATTTCTAAGCCAAAGAGATGGCATTGTCTGTAGATGCCTCCAAGTGGTCAGCATCACTGCATGGAGCACTGTTACCTTCCCACCGGAGCGGTACCTATTGATCTTCGCACATTTGCATGTTTTCAAACTGCAAGGACAGATGCTATTAGACTGCATCTCCTCTTAACCTCAGCCAGATTAGCCAATGCTGAAGGAAACAGGAACTGCAATTCAACCACATATTTGTGAGTGTACTTAGCATGTATATATATATGTGTGTGTGTGTGTGTGTGTGTGTGTGCATGTTTTAAGATGTATCTATTATATGCAGGGAAAGTGGAGGAAAATAATGTCTTACTGTATATACCATCTAGTTCATTTAGTAGAAATTTCAGATGTAAATATTTGAGCTGCCAATGACCTGTTCACTAAGAATTAAGCAAGATTTCTACAGGGATGGTCATATTAGCTGGTTCTGCAATAAAGAAAAGAAGGAATATTATAACCTGTTGAAATGCAACATATTCTGCCATATGTTTTCATGGACCTAAAGTCCACTTCATCAGAAGTTTCATTGGTAAAAGCATTATTTGCGCCATAAAACAATGACAGAGGAAGAGTCTATCAAAAACACTATCCTAGCCTTTAAATAATAAAATGTTTTGTCATACTATGCATTAAAAAATAAAGCTGCAATCCCAGACATATGGAGAGTCAACTATACTAGAGAGAGTGTTGGGTTTTTTTTTAGTAAAAATGCATCATATTGTATTGTGATTACAATGTTATTAATTATACATATGCCACACATTTTTCGGGTAAAGAACAAAAAAAAAACATATATTCAAGGTCCCCCCAGTAGTCTCATTCAAGTGGAATGGAAGTAAGGCCCCATCTACATTGCCATTAAAAATCCAGAATATCTGCTTTGAACTGGATTATATGTGTCTACACTGTTATAGAATCCAGCTCAAAGCAGATAAATTTGTTTATATAGCAGTATATGGGGCCTGAGAAAGCAATCCACACAATCAGCAACATGCAAATAAAATCCACTAAAAATAACATCTGTATGTTCAGTGGACTAAAAAAAGTATATATTTTCAACATAAGAGTGATGTAACTTCCACATCTCTACACTGAAGGTATTCCGAGGTAGAGCACCACAAATAATCCTACTGAGATTTCTATAGGATGGCGTGATTCTGTAATATTGGGAAATTAAATCTGTATTTGAAAGCCAGTATGGTAAAGGGGGTTAGACTGTTGGAACTAGAACTGGGAAAGCTAGAAATGGGGAGACTCAGATTCAGGTTTGAATCTCTACCTGATCGGGCAACTGTGGATTTTATTGTTCTGAGGATCCAAATGTGAGTAGGACAATTGAGCTTCCTTGTTATAAATGAAACAAGAAATAACTGCATACACACAACACTGATTGAGAAGGCAACAACGAACACAGAACTAGAAGCTTTAAACATGGATGCCACTGACAGCATCCATGTTTAAACTCATACATTGGTCTTCTAACCATACTGGATTATTTAGATGCCATTTCAAATTATATCTAATTAGTCCAAGGGAAATAGGACAACAAAATGTTAACTAAGCAGTGGTTATGTGCTCACTCTGGATTTGTTTGTCGTTGTCGTCCCCCCCACCCTTTAATACAGTAAAAGAGTGAGCGAATTTCAAATAGTTACATTCCAACCTCTCAGAAACTGTTGACTCAATCCTATTATTACAGCAAAAGCCAATGAAAGCAGCTTGGCTATGGCCTGGTGAGGTCATAGCTTGTTACACATTGACAAACCATAATCAGAAACCGTGATAAGAAAGAAACTAGCAAGCTATGCTTTGGAGTGATGTGGTTTGACCCAGATATCCCAGTATTTCCAGAAGAACTGTCCATAGGTATAGCTCACCACCAGTGGTCTTTCTATTGACAGTGAGCTTTGAAATAGAGCATTGTATCACAAAGATTGGTGGTTCGATATATACACTTTCATTTCATTAATATTATCATTGTGTGAGGTGGGTAAAATTCTAGACTCCTTCATTCCTCAAGAGCTTAGAGGAGCAGGTCCTCATATGCAACAAGAGAATTTTACATCTTGTTTAAATAAAAAAGAAAAAATCAAGAAAAAAAGCGAGCACACTATCTCAACACTATCTGCTCTGACTAGTGCAAACTAATAGAGCTTGAGAAATGGTGTATGATCCACCATGCTTCATTATAATAATGGTCAGGGCAAAACACAATTTGCCAAAGTCAAATTCAGACTTATTGTGTCCAGTTCAGTAAGCTCTAGCCATAGACTATGAGATAATCACTGCATCTTAAAAAGGAATAGTACTTTCAATATTCAGACAAAGCAAACTTTATTTCCAATACTGTGTGCTGAAATCCAATACAGTAGAGTCTCGCTTATCAAGCCTTCACTCATCTGTATTTTCTAACGCAGTCTGCCTTCCACCCAGATCCACAGCTTTTTCAATACATTGCAATGTTTTGGTGCTAAATTAGTAAATACAGTCATTACTGCATAACGTTGCCAGGTATTGAACTGCTTTTTCTGTCAATCTGTTGTAAAACATGATGTTTTGGTGCTTAATTTGTAAAATCATGACATAATTTGATGTTTAATAGGCTTTTCCTTGATCCCTCCTTATTATCCAACATTTTCGTTTATCCAACGTTCTGCCGACCCATTTATGTTGGATAAGTGAGACTCTACTGTACTTCATCATAAAAATTCTGAGATAATCCAAATGTCAAGAATATGCCAACTGATATGTACAACAAATGTGGAAAAACTGTCACAAGAGAAACTGAAAATGTAACTTTTCATTTGTCAAAAACCCTTAATTTGCCAATGCCTTAGAAATCATTTGAGAAAGAGACACGTTCTCATAATCACTTTCAAGCTCCAAGATACCCAGATGCTCGATTACATCTATTTCAGAGAGTAACATTTTGAAGTGCTCAGGTTTTCAGTTCTTACAATGTTCGAAACTAATAAGATACCCACAGCCTGAGCACTCTTTTTGCCACCTAAAAGTGCCCCTCCTTTCACATAGATATGTGTGTCTTCTAATTTTTCTCACAACTTTACTCCCTTATTTAGTTGACTCTATGAATAAAAAAGTGAATATTCTACAAAATATTTCCATTCATGTATTATAGTTGACTGATAAAATTTAGATATCTCATAACTTGAACGATCAGAACAGAGTATTTTATTAAAGAAGTTTATGATACAAGTTCAGAGCAAGTGTCACTGGGATTTTTGTAAGAAAAGTAGTACATTCTCTACCTCACTGAGGCCCCTTCTATACTGCCTATATTCCAGGATCGAATACCAGATTTTCTGATTTCAACTGTCTAATATAAAATAATCTGGGACAAGAAGATAATCTGGGATCAGATCCTGGGATATAAGGGCAGTGCAGAAGGGGCCTCACATGCCAACTTCCTTTGAATATGCATGGATACTTGTCCACAAACTTTAAATAAAAGTGGATAACCTGAATGCTTTTTTTTTTTTTTTTTTTTTTTTTTGTGATCCCTGCATAGCCAAAATAATGATTAGGGAAGTACACTTATTTATTATTTATTTATTTCACATATTTGTATCCCGCCCTTCTCACCCTAACAGGGGACTCAGGGCAGCCTTAGAGCAGGCAGCGATTTGAGGCCAATACATATATATATAAAAATAAACAAATGCAATTTGTACATCTAAACTATTGTGTGTGCATGCGTGCATGTGTGCTAATTTACCAACATTTGGTGTGACAGCAGAGTGCAGCTCCATCCTTGACTTTAGCAAACAGTATTATGTGAAGTTGTCTGGCTCATGTTTTCTCTCTCCCGCTACAAAAACCATAAATACTCTAAACTACATTCTTAAAAAGCACACCTGAAACAGCATCGTCCTATTCTTTTCGGAGTCTGAAGGTTGGACATGGCTGGGGGCACTTGCATGTCGCCGTCGTGGCTGTGTTTTTGAATTGTTATCATGTGTCTTCCTTTGCATAACACCTGTGACGCTGCTGCACCGGGAGCGAAATTCCTGCTGGTCATCAAACCCAGAATCCTCCAAAATCCGCTCAGGGAAGGAGACTCGACAACTCGCCAGGCTGGCCAGATTGGTCTGGCTTCCCACTATGAACATCCCTGTTTTAACCCCATCTGGGCTATCTGCCTCCTCCTCCTCTTCAAACGGACTGTCAAAGGGAGACGTCGGTATGTCCCCATCACCCCCAGGAAGGTCTGTGCTGGAGTCTGGATTGCGGTGCTCACTCAGCAGCTTCAGGCGTTGACGTTCATGCAGGCTGAACTTCTCAATGCAGTCATCAATCAGAGTGGAAGGAGCCTTTTTGTGAGCCACAGTCACTTTTCCGCAGTAGAGGACCTCGAACTTTTGGGAGTTATAGAATGCATCTTCACTGTCTTTAATGGGCTTGACATCCTCTTTGAGAGCTGCTTTTGAAGCTTGTCTTATGCTACTAATGACATCAGGAACCTTAAATAAAAGAAAGAAAGAGAACAAGCACCATCATTAACAAATCTAAATCTAAATCAACAACATCTGAATGGGACACAAATGTAACTTTTAGTCCTGCAAAGGGGTCTTCTAGATATGCCCTTGTGATACAGTGGTTCCCAACCTTTTTTTTTGATCAGGGACCACTTTGACCAGGGACCACTCTCCAACATTAACACTAAAAAGGTTATGAATTTTGGTCAATTTCAGATTTGGTTTGGTTATTTGGGGTGCTGATTCAGAAAATTGCACTGGATAGACCACATCAGCTCTAGTTTCTGATACAGAACATATGCCATTCAGTAGTCGCCATTTGCTCACCCACAAAAAACCATATTTGATAAGCCTCGGCACTATAAGAGGGTTTCACGAGACCAGTTGCTCTCATTGCAACGATGTAGTAACGATGAGGCCATGGACCATATTTTAGTTCTTGCAGACCACTGGTCGTCCATGGACCACAGGTTGGGAACGACTGTTGTAATAAATCGCTTTGGGTTTGGTCATTATTGTCACTTCCACATCCACACATTCCATTATTTTGTTTGTAGCAATTTCTTGAATCTGTAGTACAGCTCTCCAAAACGTTTGCTGAGATGATACCAGTATAAAGGGCAATGTTCTCCTATTTAATTGTTGCTGGTTTTGTTGTTCTAGTGTTCAAGGGACCATTTCATTTATGCACTACAGCATTAATTCTAAAACATGTTTATGAGGACAGAAAGGAGAAGATATAAATACTTTTTTGTTTTGAAATATCTCATAATTTAAAAAGAAATTCACTCAAGGACCAGAATAAATTCTGCAATGGTGGTGGTGGAAACCGCAAAGAAATAGTTCATGACAAATGAAATATTGTTTAGATTTTAAAAAACCCACTGCAAACAACTTCCTGAGCTATTTGGTCTATATCAAAAAGTACAACATTGGAAAAAGCAGAAGAAGTCTTCCCATATACATTTCAAAGCAACTATCTGTATATGAGCTTACACATTTGCTTAGAAAGAATATTAATACAATTTCTTTGGTTTAAAAAAGCGAGACCTTAGATAATAGAAAAATGTTGTTCTTACAGAAAATGCAAGATAATTTGCAGCAAAGCTATCAAGACATCACTGCATTATCTGTACAGACTTATTGCTCAAAGAGAAATAATGCTGCTCTCATGCCATTTTCTCCAAAACTCTTGACTCCAAAATTTTCCCATTTCCTCTGAGAAATTTAAGTTAAACTTTACAAGATGTGGTTGCAAAATTTCTCACCAAGTGCTATCTATTGACAGAGCAAGATAGGATATTCTCGTCCATGATCAACTATTCAGCTAAGTGCGGAATTTCCCAAAATTGCGAATGTCCAACCTTTCCCAAGTTCCAACTAAATCAAATAATCACCATACAAACTGATTTTCCCAGTGAAATAAACACCATTCTAGAATTGCCAGTAGAAGTCTCATAGTAATATCCAGCGAAATCAAGTATTGGCATTCCTTTTGTAAATATGAAAACATCCTTCCAGGACTCTCCCCGATTTGTTTGTTTGTTTTGAAGATCAGCTATCCTTAGGTGCCATCTAGAATCTACCCAAAAGGAAGTTCTCCTGATCCCCAAATCCCCTAAACATCCCAGAAGGATACCATGGATCATGGTACCAAACACTGGTGAGAGATTCAAAAGCACCAACAGGAACACACTCCCCCAGTTGATGCTATGGCAAAGATTATCCACTAAGGTCATCACAATTATCTCAGCTCCATATCCCACTTTAAAGCTGGTTTGAAATGGGTCTAGAAAACTGGTATCACACAAAACTGTTTGAAGTTGGAAGGCACCTGTCATCTTGTCTCAAAAAGGAAGGGCTATAATTGTGGAGCCAGGCAAGGTTTTTTTAAAAAGGCAGTTTATATGGTCTCCAAGATACCTGGACTTTGCTGCCTATGCCAGTCTTTGCATTGCTGCTGCTAATCCTGGGTGGCAAATAACTTTTAAAATGCTGGCATGAAAGACGAGAGCACCTCTGCTCTAGACATTTAACAGGTTACTGTAAATATATATTTCTTATCTAGACAGATAATTTATTATAGAAGCATGTATTTCCTATGGATATGTGCAGAGATAAATATTTTTTCCTTTACAGAGAAAATATGGGTTAGGTTGCCCCAGTACAGTGCAAGATGTAAGACATCTTAGATGAAATACGAAGTCAAAATTGAGTTACATGTCTAGATCACTGCCTCTTAAACTGTGGGTCCTGATGCCAAATAGGGTCCCCTTAGCTCAGTGTTGGGGTCTTGAAAAATTTGGCAACAGCAAAAACAATATTGGACATTAGCTTGTGGCTGTTTTAGGCATTTACACACATTTGTTGTGCAATGTTTATGGTGGATGCTGCAGAAGATTCTTCAGCTGTATTTCATACAAAGGAAAATCAGTATTTTCAGCAAGCCTTGCAAATGCAGATTTCTTATCAGTAAATGTTTGATTTTTATACCTATTTTATATATCTATAAATCCAGGGTTATATAATGATTTCTTGACCCAAAAAGGGTCCTGAGTGGAAAAGTTTAAGTCTTGGATTAGACCAGGGGTCCTCAAACTAAGGCCCGGGGGCCGGATACGGCCCTCCAGCATCATTTACCCAGCCCTTGCTCAGGGTCAAATTAAGTCTGAAATGACTTGAAAGCACACAACAACAACAATCCTATCTCATCAGCCAAAAGCTGGCCCATACTTCAAACTAAAATACTAATAAGTTTATATTTGTTAAAATTGTTCATTTTAATTATTGTATTCTTTTAAAGTGTTGTTTGCAGTGTGCATAGGAATTAATTCTTTTTTTTTTCAATTATAATCCGGCCCTTCAACAATTTGAGGGATTGTGACCTGGTCCTCTGCTTAAAAAGTTTGAGGACTCCTGGTTTAGACAATGATGTCCATGTGCCTCCTCAAGGGTAAGCATGTGGGTATGTATGCTTTTCTATCTGTTTCCCTATCTTGTGTGCATGTGTATATTATTTTGTCTATTTTTGTGAAATAGTTTAAAATTTTATTATGTTGTCTCCTGATTCTCCCCTATTACAATATTTTTGAGGATCTCATACTAAAGAATGCTTAAGTGGAATGATGGTGCTGAACCTGATTTTTGGATTACACCACTGTTCACATTCTAGGAGTCCAGGTGACCAGAAGATGGCAAAAAGATACAGTATTCGTTGTATAACAGAAAAAGACCCTCAGCCCAAAGAAGTGGTTCCCAACCTTTGGTCATCCAGGTGTTTTGGACTTCAACTCCCAGAAATCCCAGTCATCTTACCAGTAGTTAGGAATTGTGGGAGCTGAAGTCCAAAACACCTGGAGGACCAAAAAGTTGGGAACCACTTGTCTAAAGACATTGGGGTGGGAGAACTAGACATGTTTCCTAAGCAACTCACTTTCATGCCCCGTTGTCCTCTCAGCTGGAGAGTTATCACTAGAAGCATGTAGGAAAAAGGAACCATCTTTTCTTGTTAGTATTTGCTAATCACAGACAAGTATATATAGCAAAATAATTGAGCTACCCAGGCTCTAATTTATATATTGTATTACAAGGCCAAAACAAAATACCATCACAAGAGAGGAAACAGCTGCACTGAAAACATACACAACTCATAACCAAAGAAGCACAAAACCAATCTTCTAGAAGTGGGAAAGGCAAACAATGTAACAGAAATTCCAGATAAATTTTTTTTCCAAAATTACTACGAAATCCATCCCTCTCGCCATACAAGAATAAACATACTCTGGATGCACAAATAAGTCCATGAAAACCAGACTGAAGAATACTGCTTGTTAAGTGCTCAAATATATTTCAAAGGCACTTTAACCCCAACTGGACCCACTGTTTCAATGGCTTTCTTCCAATTCTTATAAACCTCCTTTATAAACCTTATTTGGTGCTGCCCCTGAGGATTCTATTTCACATAATGTTTGCAGTTTGCCTGCAAAATAAAAACAAAAACATGCAAGGTCAGACATTCAAGTTCAGGACATTCTACTCACCCATTTTTCATCTGCAATTCCTGCAGTTTTGTGACCTCCTGTCTCTATGGGTTTTATCTGGACAAGATCCATAGTATCATTAAGACTAAGGAAGGAAGTGGACTTGCTGCTGTAACAAGCTGAGACATGAGAGAAGCCTTCCATAAGATGGAAGCACATCCGGGTGTCCCCTGGGCAACATTCTTGCAGACAGCCAATTATCTGACACCAGAAGTGACTTGCAGTTTCTCAAGTCGCTCCTGACATGAAAAAAAGTCTTTTCTGCCAAATAGTCTCTGTGTCTCTTCAAACCACAATTTTCATACTTCCATAATATTCTGACACAAAAATAGTGAAATTCCTAAAGACAAATGAAGGAAATTTTCAAATTCTATAGAACTCCAGACACAGAAAGATGACCATGGATGTTTAGAAGAATATGCCATATACCAACTACTCCTGCATAGAAAATCATGAAAACCACATCTAAGCAACTCGAGCTGGTGCAGTCTATCCAATGCAATTTTCTGAATCTGCCCCAGGAACAGGCCTAAAATTGAAAACACCAAGATATTTTTGGTCTAATGTTTTTTAAAAAAATCCTTTTTTCAAATCTGAAAGAACATTTCTTTTAAAATGCATGATTCTATGGCCAACTTCAACTAGAAGCTGTTCATAGAACTGTCAGTGTCACCCAAAAAACAATGAATAATAATAGAAACAGCATTATATCTTATACAAGACAGTAAGTTATAACTAAAATTATAATGAACATGTAACCTTTTGAGAAACAGGTACATGATGTTCCCTTTGGGTTGTGTAAGAGTCGAGATTCTACTCTTTTATGTTCATTCCTTGGCATCTGCAAAATGACTGAAAAACCAATCAGACAAACAAGAAACTCAGATGAAAAGAGGACAGTGAGGCTTTGCAGTAACTTGCCTACTAACAGTATAGATGGAACAG